ATGATTCAAAATACGCGACCAAAACTTGACCGCCTAAATCTATTGTCGTCTTATTTGACGAAAAGCAAAAAACTAGCTCCACTTTCTCTCCTTCAAAAGATAATGATTTACTTTTATATGTTTTATTAAAGACGTTTACTTTTATCCAACATTCGTTCCTTACATAATAAATACGCTCAAATCATTTACAGGTTTCTTTTCGTAATTATATATATAGCAAACTAAAAATTATTCTGAATATATATTGTAAACTGTAGTCACGAATCTAATAAGTGAAAAAAAACGAATTTTCTTTCGTAAATAGGTACATAAACGATCTTATTTTGTGTTGAACATTTGCGTATGAAAATAATGATGGTAATTACGTTTAAATTATCCAAAATTATTTAAATTTTTCGTTGAATATTTTTTTAAAATGACGGTATCGGACCCGCGAGAGTTGTTACGTCTTTTTATTAGTCTCAAGTTACACAATTTCCAAGAATTTATCAATAACCGTTCTTTAAAGGCTGGAGGTTGATTATCGTGATGAAAATCGAGTAGGTAGGTATTACTTAAATTACATTTTAAATATTTCCATTTTATTATTAAAATAACGAAAACTTAAAATTGCATTGGTGATAATAATTATTTAATATTTTAAGTATCATCATTTAAAAGCTTGGATAATATTGTTGGAAAAAAATATAAATTAATAAATTTTAAAAAGAATATGATTGTCATAATAATTGTTTTTCTTGTAAAATATCGTCAGAAAATACGAATGTAAGTTAAGACTTGTTTGACTAAAATTATAAGACGATATTATATGTATATATATACGCTTCATTAATTATTGAAACAAGAATGAGGAAATGTATCATTGAGACTTACATTTTTTTATGATATTGTACTAACTATCAACTAATAGTTAAAATTAGCGGCCGGTCGTAAAAACAATTAGCCAAATTACAACATGTAAAGCAGACCCTGGCTAAAGCTGGGGAAATTGCCAGGAAGAAGATTGTATTAACTATCAACTAAGTTGATTCTGATAAAACTTTTATTGAATTATAGTTAATACAATAGATTTGTCACCATGATATGAATAAGTTCGTAGAGATTAATAAATTAATATATTTTAATTTTTTGTGTAATGTAAATATTCAAGTAACCAAAATAAAACACTTAAAAATACTTATTTCTGAGATCTAAGCCTTTCGCGGGTATTCATTCAAATAAAATTAATATTATTCGTATAACATCTCGTCTGTCCGTTATCCATGTTGCTGAAAAGTAACTTAAACGTCGGGAATATATAGTTAAAAATAATAAAATAATCCGCAAATATTATTTTAATTTAAATATTTAAAGATTAAAAAACTGTTTCTTTATTTACTCCAAAAATATTGAGTGTTGTTTGTGTGTTAATCTTCACGTGAGTCATGGTTGGAAAGTGTCTCATGTCAAGGCTGGTCGTGATGGTTGAGTCAACCAGGAGGTTGCTATATAGAGGGTTATATAACGAGTGACGCCGCGGAACAGAACATAGCTTGTCAGCCGTAATAACGTAGATGGTGAACAAAATATTAAGCAGAAACTCTTTACAGAGTAATATAAGATTTAGTTTTATTAACATACTAGTTTTAGTGTGTGACTTTGTCTGCGTTTACTTAATTATTATACATATATTAACATAAGATATATATCAACCAACAGTTATTAACCAACCAACCTCATTACGTGACTTCATACACAGAACAATTTCGTGCCCAAAATTTTGACTACACGGAATTTTGCTATATGTATATTATAGCATATATCTTAATCCAATGTTTCAACTTCATTCCTGTAAATTTTCATCAAAACTAATTACATAGTTTTTGCATGAAAAAGTAGCAAACATTCAGACATGTTCACGAACTTTGTGTATAATATTAGTGTGATATAAAATGCTAATTATGCGTCTTTATTTTCTATTTTTGTTCTCCTATCAATATATATAGCTAAAAGTATACATGCATGATTAATGCATTCCCAAAGAGGATTGATGTTAGGCAGGCGGCCGGTCGTAAAAACAATAAGCCAAAACTATTCACAACATGTAAGGCAGACACTGGCTAAAGCTGGGAAACTGCCAGGTAGAAGAAGATAGCTAAAAGTACACAATAGTCTGTCCAGTAATTATTTTGCAACCTATCCTTCAGCAACAAAGATATACAAGTTAAACAGTTTTGTCACATTGTAAAATTGTGTTATAAGTAAAAAATAATTCCCATTGATAGAACATAACTCGTTGAAAAACATTATTACCAGGAAATATCCTAATATTAATATTTAAGTACTGAGAGTATATAATATTGTAAAATTACATATTGTGTGCTTGGCTTAAGTTCAGTAATAGCTTGTATTGAAGACTCAACCGCAAGCTAGCTTGATAGACAGCTTATTTACTATCTGTAGCCTTAGCACAAGTTAATTTTCCGTAACTAAATACCAACAGTTTTACAGTTTTTTATTCATAATATACATTTTTATCAATGAAAGACCATAGTAATATTTTTAATTTGACGACGTTGTATTCTACACGTTTACAATTATATGAAGTAATAATATATGTACATACTTAAAAACAAAGCAGACAATATAAATTATTAAATAAATACGATGAAAAACAAAGTGTTTGAAAGATATTGGAAGTATTTTATTATAATTTTAAATTTTTCTTCTTCTTAAGTCATTCACACATAGAATTATTTGTAAACAAATTATCGTCTTATGGTTATGTACATAAAATTTCAAAGACTACTTGACACTTAGCAGTTAGCGTTCTGGTCTAAGTCTAAACTTCGGCTTAGATCACACACCGTCAATAACATTTCAGCCAAAAGTCTATACTGAAAATTGCACTTAACGGGGCTGGGTGTATCCATTAATATATAACTAAGTTTTGCCCGCGACTTCGTCCGCGTTAATTTGGGCATTAGTAATATATGTATGTATAGCTTACCGGGCGAACTCCTTTCCGACCTAAAGGCCATAAATAACCAGGTATTGGAATTGTTTAACTACTTTTTTCTGCTCCGATCGAACATAATTAAATATCCTATGTCCGTCTCCTTGTTCTACGCTATCTCTTCACCGATTTTCAACTATATCCCTACAGCCGTTCTACAGTTATAAATGGTGTAAATAACACGACTTTCTTTTATATATATATATTAAGTGAAGTAAAATTTCAATAATAATAATAAATAAACGGTAACTTTTTCAATATTACGTTATCCTTACACCCGCATTGTATATTACGGTTGATGTTTGCCCCCAATTGTTTTACCGCCGACCTCGTGTCATTGACCCCATTGTAAATTGTGCATTTAACATAATATACAAAACACTTATTTTAATATGTAGGTAATCTATAGATAATAATGTTCTAACATAATGATGTATCAAATTAAAATAATAGAATATTCTCCTTCTTCTACCTGGCAAGTTTCCGGCTTTAGCCAGGGTCTGCCTTACATATTGTGAATAATTTTCGGCTAATTGATTTTTACGACCGGCCGCCTGCCCGACATTAACCCTCTTTTGGGAATGCATTAATCAGTGATGTCTAAATATTGTTAGAAAGTACATATGACTCGGAAAAATCACATTGGTACTTGCCCGGACCAGGATCGAACCCGCGCCCTCGGTAACTAGAGGCGGACCCGCTAACCATTAGGCCACCACTGACTAAAAATAATAAAAAATAATAGACTATTATAAGGTCGAAAGTATTTCACATATTTTTGTATATAAAATAATTTTGATTTTAATACAATAATTAATAACTTTAGAATTTTTTATGTTAAATTTAATATTTTATTTATTTAAAAATATATATTTTGTATTTGTTTAATAATTTATTTTCTCGATTTATAAATAAGTTACAATTAATAATTATTATAGGAGTTTGTTTAAGATATCAAAGTCATGTAAAAATTTCTGATATCCCTTTGTGTTACATTATAATATTAGTTTCAAAAGTTACGTATTTTGTTTTGTATGATTTTTTAACCAAAAACAATGATTCAATAAAACCATTGCCTCGTAAGTCGTAACGTTATAGCCAGCTCCGGTTTCCTGACACACTAAACCCCGGTACACATTGACGACAAGTAAATAAAGGTGTGTTCATATTACACAGCAACTCTTTATACATATGTATATAAAGTATCGTAAAATTTGTTATTATATGTATATATAATTTAATAAAATTTAAATATAGGTTTGTAATAAAAAACGCTTTTTCTAAATGTATGCGTACATATCGTATTTTTTAATTTCTGTATGTATGTTTGTTCTACCTATACTCAGAAAGAGCTGAACTAATTTTGAAGATACTTTTACAATCAGATAGGTCATGTAATGAACGTTAACTTATTTTAATTTCCAAACAAACAACCTCTCGTGAATTTTAAAACCATATACATTTATATCAAATGAAAAAAAAGTTCTGAAACCTATATACAGGGTGACTGGTGAATTACTATCAATATTTAAGGAGCATACTCGGTACATGATTCTCATTCGAATTATGTAAAAAAAAATAGGCACTTAATTTTTGACAAAATTTCCGTATAAATAAATAAAGTGTGTACACGTTCCAAGTGTTCCAAGTGTGAACGCGTGCGGCGGCGTGCTGATACAACACTACGCCGCCGCCGCGTCTGTGTGAGTGTCAGTGTATACCTAATCTGTAGGGTGTTCATACGATGCGTAATTAATGACATAACTTTTGGTTAACTTTACTTAGAAGTTTATTAATATTTATTTTATATTAATTTTTATTTTGTCATATATGATCGTCAAATATCACGTCCTCAAATATCGATAGTAATTCACCAGTCACCCTGTATATGTATATGTATATATTAAGAAATTCTCTCAACAATAGTAAGTATAACATAATAGAAATGAAAGTGTGTTTGTAACATAATAAAAATTTAAATAAAGAGATACATTAATACGTAAAAATGACATCACAACTTTCACTCGTGACTCACGACTCAACTAGATGCACAGAAAGAGGTTATGCTTTACAAAATAATGCTTCGTTAGAATTAAGTAAATCTAGATTTTTTATAGGTAATATGAAATTCTTGTCAATATACATATTGATGAATTAAGTCAGTGGTGGCCTAGTGGTTAAAAGGCCTATCATACATGAGGAAGCGGGTTCGATCCTGGCAAGTACCAATGTGATTTTTCCGAGTCATATGCGCTTTCTAAGAGTATTTAGATATCACTGATTAATGCGTTCCCAAAGAGGGTTGATGTCAGGCAGGCGGCCGGTCTTAAAAACTATATTTACAACAAGTAAGGCAGACCCTGGCTAAAGCTGGAACACTGCCAGGTAAAAGAAGATATATATATTAATGAATGAATGACTCTATCTTTTTGTTATATCATCGAAATAATATATATTGAATTATATAATATTATATTTAAATTTCAACAAAAATTTTCACTTATGAAATAAGTAATAAATAAATGTTTGTTATTTTATAATCATTGTCAGTTACATTCACTGAATTACGTTAAAATGTTACTGTAATACATGTTACAGTATTCTTTACCCGACTATCAAAGAAGAGGGTTATAAGTTTAACATATATGTATGTATGTTGTTGTGTGTAACGGATCTACTGATTTTGATGCGGTTTTTTTCATTTAAGAGCCACATTCCACGCAATGATTCTTAATTAAATTTGGTTATTTTAAACCGCAAGTGTAAGAGTATCTCCTATCATCGGCCTATCATAGCCCACTGCTGTAAGGCCTCTTTCTCACATGTAGAAGGTTTGAGCATTAATCACCACGCTTTCTCAAGACGGGTTGGTGATTTCAAACTTATAATTGTGAAACTATAAGTCCAGGTTTCCTCACAATGCTTTCCTTCACCGTCTGTCAGTGATGTCTAAATACTCTCAGAAAGTATATATGACACGGAAAAATCACATTGGTACGAGCCAGGATCGAACCCGCGTCCTCGTGCACGAGAGGCGGGCCCTTTAACCACTAGGCCATTACTGACTCTTAGGTATAGTTGATTATAAATTAATTATTTATTTGGTGAAATATTATCCAAACTTGACAACTTTAACTAAAGTTTCGCAAATATATCACCTAGTAAAATAATGAGTAATTATAATAAAATAACATTCCTATGATTAAATATTTATTAACTATATTAACTCCTACTAATTAATTAAAATAACCATTTATTTGAACATAAGGCACTCATAGTGAGAGAAAATCACATAGAAAGTAGTTTTACATGACATACTAATTGTCAATTATTTCCCATAAGATGATAATGTAAATTTACACACGAATTAAAAACAAAACCGACTTTCCGTACGTATAACTGCCAATTAAAATATTCATTAATATAATATTAATAATATAGGACATTCAATAATTGTATAATTATTTAATTTCATATATATGTACAAATAACATCGGCTATATGCAAAAAGCATAATGTTGTAGCTTTTTGCCTCATTCCTTGTACCAGAATTTAAAAAAAAAAAAAAAAAAATGTCTTATTGGATTTGCAACCGGTCCTTCCAAACTTGTTTCTTACCTCAAAGGAGGTTACGCAATTAAGAGCTTCTGAACCGATATTAATGATGCATTTCAAGTTTACCGTTAAACCGGGATTGTACGGATTCTTTAAACAAAACACTAATTAACGGACCCCAATACAAAGATATTATTATACATTAACTCGAAAATACTTAACCTACATTTGATATTTAATCTTGTTTATAAAATTTGGTTTTAAGGTCTAAAGATGGTTGATATTTTTGGTACATATTATTATTGTTATCCCTACTAATGTTATAACAGTAACTCTGTCTGTCTGTCTGTCTGTTACGCTTTCACGCCTAAACCACTAAACTGATTTTAATGAAATTTGGTACAGACATAGAGTTGACCTTGAGAAAGAACAGGATAATTTATATCCCTGACTTTTGAAAGGTTCTCTTGGAAACGCGATATAACCGAACTCCACGCGGGCGGAAAGCTAGTGTTAAATAAAGTCGCATATAATCCGAAAATTATTATTTTTATATAAATATATAAAACTCGCGAAAATCTTAGATCTCATTATATATTGTCTGTAGGATTTCGTAAAATCTTAATAATTAAGGCTTTTATAGCTTAAAATTTAAACTAAAAGAAATAAATACAAATAGAGTGTTCGAACAGAGCAACTTTCATCTCTATAATTGTGCAATAATTGTAAATATCTATGCGTTGACAAATAAAAGTTGAACTCTCTAACACTCGGCGAGACGGTTTTGGATGAAAAACGTTTAAAATAAATCTAATTTAGACTTTTAGAAAGTTAGATGGACTTTTTATGAAGACGAAAATAGGAAATTAACGATTGGACTACATTTTATTGATGTAACTCTTTTATTTATAAGGTGATATTAATTTTGCATTTGTTTTTGTTAGTTCATTCGGAACCATATTTAGAAAAACAATTTATAAATATGTATTTTATTCAGTGGTGGCCTAGTGGTTAACAGGCCCGCCTCTCGTGCACGAGGGAGCAGGTTCAATCCTGGCAAGTACCAATGATTTTACCGAGTCATATGTACTTTTTAAGTGTATTTAGACAACACTGACAGACGGTGAAGGAAAAGATCGTGAGGAAACCTGGCCTTATAATTTCACCAACCCGTCTTGAGCAAGCGTGGTGATTAATGCTCATACCTTCTCCACGAGAGAAGAGGCAGCTCAGCAGTGGGCTCCGATAGGCTGATGATGACGATGTATTATATTTAAAAAAAAATACACCACACGTGGTCATTCAATTAAATCTCCACGCGTTTTGCATTACAATCACATTTCTTTGCATTCAGTACTAATTTGGTGGTCAAAAAAAATTTTATCCAAATAAAAAAATACAATACTTAGATTAGTTCTAAGATCATAGTTGTTTAATTAAAATATTTGTCAATGATAAGAGTCGAATGTACTATGATTTTAACATAACTTTTACCTCTCTTTATTTTATACATTCATAACTATAGGTATTGTCTTTTTGTTAGCTTTTCTTCTATACTACCTGACTGATATATTGCGTCGTTAATAATAAATCATTTTCAAAATGCTCAAAATATACTACTTAAACAATGTTCAGATTTTGTTTTGCTTACACTTAGATGACAGACGTGTATGTTTTTGTACGTATTTTTTTTGCTTTAGGGACTAAGAACGAATACAGGGAACTTATATACGGAAAAATTCTTCCATTTTAACTTCTATCAAAAAACAACATAAAATTTATTTAATTTTTTTTTTTTTTCAGTATTGATCGGGTTATCCTTAGAAACGAAATGCCAACAAGTCCACCCCGGTAGGTATGCATCAATGATTCTTCATATCAACTAATCACGTGTTAATATTCAAGTATTCATATGAACCATACTTTACAGTCACATTCATAAGACCGGGACAGTATCAGAATGGACATCCGCCGTGGCAACGATTCACAACACCTCGCAAACGATCACCTGATCCACAAACCTATTACAATACCCATGAGCTATCGTACAACCAGAATCCTTTCCAGGGTAACGAATTCTCGACCAACCAAAGGCAGGATATACCAGGACATCAAAACTATCCTAGTAGATCATCAGCCGATCTCATTTATACTGAAACAAGAGATATCCCTAACGATGGAAGACTTCTCTCAGATTCAGCATTCACCAGAATATCAGAGACTTTAGGTGCAATCAATACAGTCGGCCACTACTTGGTGGATATTGTCAACGAGAACGAAAGAAACGAATCCGATCCAAATCTCAAGCAACTTCCAAACGCCATATACACACTCAGCAAGAATGTTCTAGGCAGAAATGTTACTGATAAAATAGCTCCTATAGTTAAGAAAGCGTTGCCTAGAGTTTTGCCAGACGCACCAATCACTAGGATAGCTACGGCTGATGTGAGCCAAAGTAATTCTAAATCCTGCACAACTCCCGATGGAGAGCAAGGGGTCTGCGAGGATTTAAGCAACTGCCCCCAACTACTGCTAAATCTCATAAGTCTTAGAGAATCGTTGTGCTTCAAAGATCTCTTCGTTCCTGGAGTGTGCTGTCCACGAAATGCTGTCCTATCATCGACGCCGGCTGAAGAAAAGCCAGTTCTAAGTACGACCAGCAAACCGACGTATTTAGTACCTGTAACCACTCAGCGGCCGGTTCAGAAACCGACGACAACCAAAAAACCAACGGCCATCTTGGTTCTGACTACCAAAAAACCAAAGACCACCAGTCCTAAACCTACGAAGACGCCTACCACTGTTACCACAACGAAAGCCCCGTCTACCACCAGCTTCTACACTGTAACGCCACCGTTCATAGGAAATTACTCCAACATCGTGGACGTGAATGGTAATGTATCAACAATACTTTTCTCTCATTCCTTACTAGTTTCTGCCCGCGAATTCGTTCGTGTTAATTTTGGAATTAGTAATATATGTATAGCACCGGACGAACTTTATTCCACCACAGAGACCATAAATAACCAGATAATAGAAAATATTAGGTTTTTTTTTTAATCTTTTTAGATCGAGACGGAATTAAATATCCTACGTCCGTCTCCTTGTTCTAATCTATCTCTCCACAAATTTTCAATCATATCCATACAGTCGTTCTTGAGTTATAAATAGTGTAACTAAAAAAACTTTCTTTAATATATACAGATTACTTATCATCATAACACTTCAAACTTCATCATCTAAATCTCATTACCTACAGGATGATATCATTTTATCAAAAATAAAACAGTATCAACAACCAAACAATTGCTATATAGACTGTCAACGTGGTCATCATAAAACTAAAAACATAATTCAAACCTCAATCACTTCTGTAGTCTTTCTCCAGGGATTCATTTATCAATAAGAAAACAGTATACCCACTTTTAATATGAAGAATAACATTGTATTGTTCATAGTAGTTTAATTTAGGAAATAAACTGTTACAAAACTCAAACAAAAAGACGCATCATTATCATAGTGTCACACATTAACAATAGAAATACTATCAGATACAATACACAGTATAGCCAATATAATGTACTACTTAAATGAAACTAATATTTTCGGATTTTACTTTTATTTATTTTTGATTATAAACTACATACTGTTTACGTTTCGGCTACTTTTCAGCAACAGCAGTGAGTTAACAAAAAAATAAATACGCGAAGTGAAATCCGAAAATATTAGTTTCATTTAAATGAGTTTTGCGAAAATCTTAGTACTCATAACCACCAACCAAATCTTCATTATATAGATTGTGGTCAACGAGAAGATGAAGGAGGTCGTATAGTGGGTGGAACAGAATCTAAGCCAGGAGCTTGGCCGTGGATGGCTGCCATATACCTGCACGGGAATAAAAGGAAGGAATTCTGGTGCGGAGGAACTCTTGTGGGGAAGAGACACGTACTGACAGCCGCGCATTGCACCAGGGACTCAAAACAGAGGCCGTAAGATATACAATAAACTATCACTCATCATAGATTAATTAATATTGATAAACACCAAAATCAGTTCTGAATATTTAATGACAAACTAATAGAGCTATCTTGCAAGATGTTTTGACTAAGTTTCTTCCAAATATTTTTCGAATATACCACGCGCGATTTATTTGAACAAAAACTTATACCAAGATTTCGGTTACTTTACAGCAACCGTGATCACGAACAGACATCTCATCTGCCGAAAGTCTTAGATATCATTTTGTTGCGAATAGTTCTTTAAGTATAATTTCTCTGCAACATTACCAGTTGTTGTTTCTTATTAAATCACGAGTTTAAATTACCTCTAAATCTTAATCGTAAAGATGTCAGTCTTCATTGTTAGTGATTACCAAAGACTGGGTCACATTAACCATAAATATATCATTCCACTTAACAAGATATAAGACTCACAGGTATTCATTTAAATAAAACTAATATTTGTCGGATTCAGTTCGCTTTTAAAATATACTCTCGACTATAACCGAAACGGTTACTTTGCAACATCATCACAGGCAGAAGCGATGAGTTCTGTACATTTAAATTATAGTCCATTTCCATCATATTCCACTCAAATATTTAGCACTAACAGGTATTCATATTTCAAACCAAATGATTAATGAATATATATGTATAGAAGCCCTTATATGAGATCCCAGCAGTAAAAGATGTTCATGTTCCCATTTAAACGAATGTAATATATATACATATATACAGTAGAAATACGATTAAGCGATACATTTTCTGAGATTACATATACATAGATATACTTACTTGTATGTATTAAAAACTGCAGATTTAATCATAAAATAAATTACAATATGTTTTTGGTAATTTGTAATTGGTAACCATGAATTAAAATAATAAGTTCAATTTGCTTTAAATATTTCGTGATTGTCATTTGACGTACGTCACTCTCAACAACACCACTCTCTTACGCTTTGACATTTTTCTTAGTCCGGATAATCGCGAATCCGTATAACTGAGGTGCGGATAATCGAGTTTCTACTGTATATATCAGTTCTTGTATGAGCTCATCAGTACTAAGTATTAATCTTCCTCCAGGTTCCCTCCCCGTCAGTTCTCAGTTCGTCTGGGAGACGTGGACCTCTCCCGCACAGACGAGCCCTCGCGACCACTCACAGCTCGCGTGACGTCCGTACGGGCTCACGAACAGTTCTCACGTGTGGGATACTACAACGACATCGCCGTACTTATATTAGCTGGTGAGTGGACTAACTTTCCCAAATAGGGTTGATGTCAGGCAGAAACAATAAGCCAAAACTATTCACAACATGTAGGCAGACCCTGGCTATAGGAAATTGCCAGCTAGAAGAAGATAGCTAAAAGTACACAATAGTCTGTCCAGTAATTATTTTGCCACCTATCTTAAAAACAGTTTTGTCACATAATTAAATTATGTTATAAGCAGAACTTGCTCATTATGATAGAGGATATAGGACTATCAACCTAACTTTTAGATATCAGTTTGAAGTTTATAGCAAATTTTATTTAATTTTTCACAATATTTATATTTTATTACACTTGGGTCGTAAGTCCCAACACTGTTGAAGCTCCTCTCTACAACGATGGACCCAGCACGCGCAATGAATCCATTGAATGCTGAAATTTCTCTAACATTTCTGCTATAAGTCATCTCAGTTCCATATATAGGGTGTTTTTTCTAGAGGTATAGAACTTTGAAATAAAATAAAACAAAAATGATTTTTTTTTTATTTATATGAAATATAATATTTTGGAGAGATAATATTCTGCCATTGTAATTTAAATAAGATTCAATCATTTGACCTCCATGACTGGCTCGGACGTAGTTTAATCTGGAGGTCTAATTTTCAACGACTTTTTCCAACATTAGTGGCTGTATATCGGCAATAACGTGTCGAATGTTACCCTCCAAGTGATCCATATATACGTCCATATTTCAGAGAACGTCCCCAAATCCAAGTACGTGATCCCAATCTGCCTGCCCAAGCGCGAGTCTTCTCGTCAGTTCTCAGGCGCGGTAGGCACTGTAGTAGGTTGGGGCACCACCAGCTACGGCGGCGGGGAGAGCTCCCGCCAGTTGGAGGCGAGGCTGCCCGTGTGGAGGAACGAGGACTGTGACCGAGCGTACTTCCAACCTATCACTGACAGCTTCCTATGTGCTGGCTATCCGAGGGGAGGGGTTGATGCATGTCAGGTAATTTTTTTTATGCTATGACGTCATTGGCACTGGATTAATGGAATGTTCTGCCAATATCGACGTGTTTATTTGTTGCGCGTTTTTTTAGCGTCATTGGCACTCATTTAGTAGAATATTCTGCCAATGTTGACGTTTTTATTTGTTGCGCGAATTGTTATATCTTGAGTACTTTGTGGAGAATTTTTACAATTTTGAGTAATTAAAAAAATGAATTAATTGACAAAAACATCTTGTGAAACAATCTTACACATAGTAGGTGTAAATCCGTCGTAGGATCGTAGCATTCATCGAACGGTAATATAGGTGACCAAATATTTTGTACCATATATGAAATAAAGATTCTCATTCCAAATTATCTGTTATAGTGATTAGATAAACAAATATATAAATAAACATAAAAATAAATTCTTTAAAGTCACAATACATCCCTCAAAAAAACTATCATAGTACAAATGCTTTCTGGTAGAGATCTCTTTTAAGAGATAAGTTATCCTTGTACATCACAATTCTTTTATAAAACTTTTATTGTAACTATTTTTTTCTGTTTGGTACATAAATAAATAAAATGCTTCAATTCCGATACTAATCTATCTGTATAATGTATAATGTCATATATATCTAATAATGTAATATATTCCCAGGGTGACTCCGGAGGCCCCCTCATGCTGCAGCTCCAGGGTCGCTGGACCCAGATAGGGGTGGTCTCCTTCGGTAACAAGTGTGGCGAGCCCGGCTACCCCGGGGTCTACACCAGGGTGACTCACTACCTGGACTGGCTGGAGAATAATCTGATATAGTACACACACACACACACACACACACACACACACCACACACACACACACACACACACACACACACACACACACACACACACACACACACACACACACACACACACACACACATGTATATATATATACTAGCTTCTTATGTATTTCCAGGATGTACTTAAGTATGTTATACTTAATATATTTTCGGGATGTAAAGTTGCCTATGTGTTATTCCAGGACGTCAGCTTCGCTTACAAAGGAAATTTTAAAACTATACCTACAATTAAAATTACAAATAATAAACAGTAGTGATATTAAACAAGATCAGTGAAATTTTCTAGTATATGGGTTCTTAATCGTTTTTTAAATATATTTAGAGATTTTGAATTGACAACACTTAGAGGCAAAGAGTTATACAGCATCCTGTATTTTATCAAAATCGGTTCAACCGTTTGAGCGTTAAGAAGTAACAAACATACACACACATTCACAAACTTTCGCAATTATAATATTAGTAGTATATATAGTACATGACTTATCTTATAGTATATAGCTCCTATGTATAAGAACCAATGTGCAAATGACAATTGTTCAGTAGGGGCGATTTAAGTTTGAATTCAATTTATCTTGTACATACAACTGATGCTTTTGAAACTCTGCATAGCAACTATAACATATATGTACGTAAACCTACTAGTATTTTAAATACAACAAGCCCTTATATTTTAAAAAGTGTGTGTTACTCATGCTTTTTTAATGCAATAAAAACTAGTCTTTCCACTAACAAATACACATTTATTAAATGGATTTTGTAAAATACAGTATTATGAAGTGTTTAAAGCAAAAAAAATTAAAATAGCTAAATTGCTACATTGGCCCTATACATAGGACCCATTGAATTTTGAAAAGACAGATAAAAAATAAATATCTCATTGTTTTTTATGTTTGACAGTCTTCTCATATTTCAATGTGGTAACACTTAATAATGTTGTCATATAAAAAAATTCTTAAATAGGCAAACATGTAAGGATTTAAGGATACTTCTCAACTATGGTATGAAGAAAAAGTATTTTATTTCTAAGTTATTGGTTTTCCAATCTTTGTATCATGACAATCATGGATTATTTTAAGTATTTAATATTTCTAATGTATAATTTTATTTAATCGCGCCATAATGTTATTTAATTATCGATTCCTATGTTTGTTTGTTAATATTTAATAAAAATGGCGTTTTTTCATGGAATAATGTTTTTTTAACGAACATAAATTGAAATCCTTAAAATGTAAATAAAAACTAGTATCTAGAAGTTTCATTTTTATTTATTATCGTGCCTTAAACCTAAAAAAGCTATAGAAAAACTATTAAAATTTTGTGATTAAAAAAAATGTATTAGTATAAGATCCCGATATAAGACGACCTTCACCGAGATGCTTATTTGATGAAACATATTTTATATTCATTACATATGGGTTGCCTCATAAATTTTAGTCCAGGATATGATTAATGAACAATTAAAAATAGATTTTTTTTCAAATATTTCGCCGGTTTGATTATTACACACACACCTCGTCTGCCCGTGATCACTGTTACTGTAAAGTAACCGAAACGTCGGGAGTATGTCAAGACATAGCAAGCGTGGTGATTAATGCTTAAACCTTCTCCATGTGAGAAGAGGCCTTTGTTCAGCAGTGGGCTCTGATAGTACGATGACGAAGTATCAAATATGTTTTTTAATTTTTCGATTTTTATACCTATGTACATTTTACCATTATCTGTCTATAAATGTAAATAAGTTAATTACAAAAAATCACTTAGTGTGGCAACTGTAAAATAATTGAAGTGCACATTTATTACACCAAAGTACCCTTATTATTATATTTTTTTCTTAATTTAAAAAAATAAAAAAACAATCAGAAGTCACAGATCTTATCATGTATCTATGTTAAAATATCTATAAAAAGTACATGCCAGTAAACACTAGCAGACGCAATCCTTAAACGTTTTCTTTATTACTGATTAATATAATTCATACTAAAGTGGCTATGAAGAAAGTAGAGTGCAATACAAATTAAATCAGATTTATTTGTCGCAAAGGTTTCTATTGCAATATATCATCCATATTTACAAAATATAGATCCAAGAATTTCTCTTTTGTGGTCTACCATTTTAACTTATGTCCATTTTACTTGAGAATATTTGAAAATATTTATGTGTTACTCAAGAAAACTACATATTTAATAATTACAATATAGCGAGAAAACAAATTTAGGAAAACGTAGAACGAAACCATAATGTCATTTCGCTGATTAAAAGTGTCAAAGTTGAAAGTACAGTTGTCTGTTTCAGTGACTTATGTCTTATATTAGAAATGATATGTAAAGAAAATGGTAAATAATACTAAATAGATTTCATGGGTGTTGTAAAAATCTTAGATATCGATCAATAAAAAATAAGTATTCTGAATTGATTGCAACATGAAGCACTCAACATCACCGACGCCCCTTTATCCAAGGAGTACCTCTCCTTTGCCAGCCCCAGCTAACTATCAGCCAACTACAGCCAGTGCAGCAGTCAAAAGATACAAATATCTTAGGAGATTATTTAAATTCAATCAAATGGACTTTGAATTCGCCGCCTGGCAAATGGTATACCTTTTTATCGCCCCACAGAAGGTGTTCAGAAATTTTAACTATAGAAAACGTAAGTTCAAACCTTTATTTGTGTAAATATCCTACTGTGGTAGTCTATACACTATTAGATTACCAATCACTTAGTCACTAACCAATAAACAATTACCAGGATCTTATGAGTCCATGATTCCAAATAGATTAATATTATATTACATCAGATAATTTAGCAATATATATAAACTATGAGATATTGACGATGACTGTCTGTATGTATTTATTGATTTATTATAAACTATCTCTTCATAGAGGACCAAAGGTTTCATGATTATTGAAATCCTTTTCTTCTGTAAAACTATTGTTTGGGTCTTCTATCTTACATGTAAAATGATTTTTATGAACAATAACTCTTATGACTTAAAAATTTGACATTGAAACATGTATCTCTAATATTTATACATATTTTTTTATCAATGATACATTCAAACATCAATGTAAGGAATATTTAAAATGTTGCACCATAACAATATAATATAACTAATAACAGGAAAAGTTGTCACCTTTTAACAGTTATTCTTTTCTTTTTAAGATACAAAATCACAATATGCTCGTGACGATCCTGCGTTTCTAGTACTACTGAGCCTGTGGCTTGTTTGTGAGTATTCTGCCATTAATTATAATATTTACAATATAATTAAACTATTAATAATTCCATATTATAAAGTGAAATATCTTGACAAATTTTTAAGAGCTAAATCATTTTTATATATTAGTACATATTGTTGCTAGACATATCCATTTTAATGAAAATATTTGGTATCATTATGAATCCCATACATAATAAAAATAAGACTTTCTGATATGCTGTTTTTTAAGAAAGATCTCAATATGGATAGTCTCTCTGTATGCAGACAATTGTTAGATCTTTTATTCCTTTTCAAGTTAATTCATAACGAGGTCGACTGTACCTGCTTACTTAATGAGATACACTATCGTATTCCAAGGAGCAATGCGCGCACTTTTCTAGGTACCTTTCATATTAGAATGTCAAATACTAAATTAGGAAGTAACACCCCTATGTCTAGATCATCTCGGCTATACAATATTTTAAGTCAAGATCTAGATATTTTTAATAACCCTGAAAAGACATTTCGTAAACGGGCGCTGAAATTATTGAGAGATGCAAACAAATAAATAAATAAATTATAAATGTTTAATTATAAATGTTTAATTGTTATTTGTATTAATTTAAGTTTGTATTGTTTTGAATATTTTTAGTAATTTTTATGAATGAATTTACTTATTATTATTATTATTGTTATTATTATTATTATTGTTATTATTATTGTTATTATTATTATTAGTATTATTATTATTATTATTATTATTATTTGGATCTTCTCGATATAATTATAAATTAATATATTTTTAAAACAATGTGATCGTTGTGGCCACTTTAAAAAGCTACACATGTTACCTGTTTCCGTTTAATTGTGTTGTATTCGACGTTTAACATGTAGTAGCTGCTAGTGGTCCTCAAAATAAATAAATAAATAAAAAATAAAAAAAAAATATTGTAGTATATCCAAAATACTTTGTTTTCTTCAATGAATACTCTCCAAAATTCTAAATATCTTTATAATAGTAGTAAATTGAATTATATGTGGCACTTAAATACTTATCATATGTTTAAAACCCATTCCAGTATCGTCAATATGTTTCTCGGTGGCAATAGGACTGAGTGTGAAGAGGATCGCCGGTTTCGTATTCTTTGTCGTGTTCATAGACTTCATTGGACTTGGTATATTAGTATCTACATTTTTCTGGTGAGTTATGTATTTGTCATCTATAATAAATATGTTATTTTACTTTGCTTTTCAAGTAGGTCTCAGGTGAATTCAAACAAGTTCTTTAAAGCAAATTTGAATACTCTTGTATTATGATAAAATAATAATTTATAAGATGAAAACATTTCTATGGATTATATGACAAAATTTCAAAATTTCAACCGTATTACGGTATTTTATTGTATAAGGAATTCTATTTTTCTCATATATCTACAAAGAAATCTTAGCAGTCATTAATATTATAAATAATGTCTAAGACAATACATGGATGTTTATTCCTCTTTACTTTTATATAGCTTAAAAAATAGACAAAAATTCCCTAAGGAAGACGGCAGGAAGGTTGTATTTAATATGAAGTCACATGTAAACTATAAATAGCCTTGCGAGTTTGTTATCATAAGTATTCTGCCGAATAAAAACTATTAATATCTCTGAATTATATTTGGAATTTCCACTCGAACATAGACGGGCAAGAACTAGTTAGCTATACTCTGGCTTTATTTATCTTGTGATTTTTTTGTTATGTGTTATTATTCCAGGTATCTCAGTAATAAGTACTTGTGTATCCCGGGTGGTGGTGACGTTGAGTGGGGCTATGCATTCGATGTTCACATCAACGCGTTTTTCCCACCGCTGTCACTATTGCATTGTTTCCAGATACTATTATTTAACCGTAAGATACATCTTAGTATTAATGTATAGGAACTCATGAGAATATCCTAATAGCAATTCATATTTGTACATATTAACATTTGTGGTTGATAAAGAAAATTTTGCAAGGGTAAATAAAGCATAATCTTCTCCATGTGAGAAGATGTGTTTGCTCAGCAGTGGGCTCTGATAGGGTGATGATGATGACATTAAGACTACTATATAATAAGGGCTTTTTCATTTATATTATCTACATATAATATTTTATATATGGGATATATAATTTTCATTTATATTATCTACATATAATATTTTATATATGGAATATATAATTTTCAATTTTTCATATATATTATCTACATATAATACTTAATAACGTTTTTGAATCTATAAATCAATTGCTATATTATGCAACAGTTTAAGTAGATATTTTTTTATATTCCAGTAATGATATACAATAGATAATTTATTTTTAATTTTTTCCAGAAATATTAAAACATGATGGCTTCGTATCCTGTTTCCTGTCAAACACATTCTGGCTCGTGTCTGTGTTTATTATCTGTACATCACCTTCCTCGGATACAGCAGTGAGTTATATTGATTATTATTATTTGTATATGACAAAGATATTCAAACTTATCTTAAATTTATAAGCTACTTCGACCTAGTAATGTTAGTGTTTTTTTAAATGATACCTCCACATAGTCAGAATTGAAAACAATCAAAGAAAATTACATTTTATTTAAGATTTACATTATCCTAAGATGGTCTTTGTACAGAACCATCTTTTTTTTCCTTTAAGTTAGCTGATTGACAGTTTGTTAGAATTAAGCTGGAATTTTTATAAAATTTTTATATATGTGTGCAAAGAAAATGAGTGCCTCCCTAATTGATCATTATTTTAAAAATAATAATTAATATCGTTGATTATAATTTGTCATGTTTTATTCAAAATCTTATAAATTAAAACTTTCTTTTGACTTGGTTTTAGTCTAATACCTAATATTTTATTTTCCAGATGTACCAATGTTGAAGAACGCTAGAGCATTCCTGTTTCCTCTACCAATACTGTTCCTTCTATATATCTGCACATTGTTTGCTGACTACAACCTCAGTGTTAAACTAATCCATTTCTATGAAGCGAGACACTCTTAGCTTATATGAAAATTATTAACATGTATAATAAGTTATTTGTTACTATTCTAATGTAAATAATATATGTTTATAATAAAATTATTATTGTAAATGAATGTTTTTGTTTTATAAAACACTTTGCATACTTTAGAGCGTTTAATATTGGTAATTCTATATGTGGTATATTAATCATCGTCTAGTACAATAACTTCATCGCTTGAGATCGGTTTCGGTCTGGGCTCGGTCTCGCTGAATGAGAGTGTTTTCTTAGCATCAGGTTTCTTTGTCTGTTGGTGCTTTGAGATGGATGTTTTAGTTATAGTGAGCGATGACGGCAGTCGGTTCAACGAAGCGTTTATTTCCTGGGAAGTTTTTGGTAATGATGGAATATTTTTCTGTCTCTCTGCTAATTTTTCTTGCAGTGTTTTACCCGGACTGACTTGCTGGTGGGATTTGGAGCTGGTTGAGGAAGGGGATATGTGGGTTTGATGACCCGAGCTGTGTCCGTGTGAACCGAATGAGGATAGATTAGCTGTCATGGATGCTGGCAATGACGAGAGGACGGTGCCCATACTGGGAGTCAAACTGGATGTAGATTTATGAATGCTGGTGATTACGGAAGTCGGAGCAGCTTTCGGGAATGAAGACGATTTGCTCACCGCGGTCATAGATGGTGACCTAGTGGTGAGAGGAGACGTGCGGACAATAGAGCTCATGGAATTCGAAAATGACTTAGATTTCATTATATTCGAGGACGTCGAACCGACCGGTCGGCCGCGCTTGGGCTTCTTCTGTTGCTGGGGCAAGTTGAATCCGGGGAAACTCGATCCCAAGTACTGGCGGTAGTACTCTGCTTGATATGAATTCTGTAACGATGTCTGGAGAGAAGACTGCATCTGATTTTGCAAACTCGTCAGTCCGGCCAACGCGCTGATATTGCTTAAATACGTCAATGATAAAGCCGCAGCGGTCTGTGGAGACATGTCGTTGAGCATAGGAACGTAACTTTGGAAGGCTGCCGCCATTTCCTGAGCGGATATTTTAGGTAAACCAGTACTTGTACTAATATTGGACGTGTGAGACTTAGATTCGGCCTTTGATTGGCTAGCTGTAACCGGTACTTTAGCAACAGAACTACTGGACGGAGTCTGAAATTTAGAACTTTGTTTCTTCGGTAAGCTTTGACTTTTTTCAATATTTGTCGTCGGTTGCTGCTTGTGGTTTTGGTTGAGCGATTGACAGTATTTAATGCTCAGGTCAACTAAATTCACGTTTTCAGAAATAGGACTCGTGCTAATCAGTTTGTAAGCATCGACAAGTAATGTGGTCAGATGTTTTGCATTTGGAGTTTTTTGTACTTTTATGTAAGCCTTATGAATATCTGCCATAAAGCTTTTTAAAGCATTTCTCTCCACCTCGTTCGTTTTTAAATCACTTTGTTGACTGAATCTTAAAAGCTGTCCTTTCAGTAATTGGACACAAAGAGAAAAGGCCTGCTGTGCTAAATCTTCTCTATCGGAATCTCTTAAGTACTTCTTTTCTAGATCTGGTTCTATTTGTAAATGTAAGCTCAGATCCAATAATGTTTTGTGATCGTCGATTTCTTTAAATATTTCCAAAGTCAGTAACACACAACGGTTCATATGAAAGGCAAAAGCCCCCGGTCTCTCGATATCGTTGCTCGGATTTTTCCAAATATTGTTGAAGAAGTTATGTGTTCTCTTTTCGCTGAATAGTCCACACATTTTCTGACCGGATCGTGAGGTTAATGTCGATAGCATCAAGTCCCTACATCTTTCGATGTCTCGTCCTTTTTTATAATAGAAGTGATAGTGGGCTAATCTGTAGATAGCTTTATAATTCGGGTGATATCGGATGGCACAATCTTCTAGAGCGTTGAGGCATCCTGACACGATCTTCATTATTTCTTCGTCTGATAATTGTCTGTTTTCCTCGGAGGACTTGCTGGAAGTGTCGCTACTACTGTCACTGCTGCTGGATGAAGAATCGCTGGAGTTCGAATCTGATGAAGAAGTTGATGAGGAAGAACTGGAGCTTTCCTCTTTTTTAGAATCAACGGTTTCCTTTTCCTTCTCTGGTATTACCTCCGTAGGTGCATCTTGCTTGTCAACAATCTCTTGCGGTTCTGGTTGTTTTTCTGAAGTTGTTACTGTTTTATCATCGTCTTTATTTTCTTTATCAGGCGATGTTGGTTTCGAAGCTTCTGTTGTTCCGATACGTTCGGTGTCGTAAGAGGCCGATCGTCTTATTTTAGCCGCTGCAGCTTCTATTTTCAATCGTTTAACTTCTTGTGTATCCTCTTCACCGGCGTCACTAATCGATCTCTTAAGAATATTGGCAGCATGTGGTTCTTCATACTTCTTTGCCATTTCAGCCTCATTCCTTATTGTTGTAGATGTGTTTGTAGCGTTATTATCTTTTGGTTTCTTAACAAATGGGCCCTGAAGCCATTTCTCAATACAATTTAAAAATACTTCGCCCACGGAGGCGGGTATGGGTTTGTTTTCGTGTTGTTCAATGTATTTAAGAATGGACGCATGCATTCTGTAATGTAACTCCAACACTTTTAAAGAGAGATTGGGCGGTGATTTGTAATTAATTTTCGATGGATAATAAGCTTTAGCTTCGTGCAGTTTCTTAATGCCTTGCATAAAAAAATCCAGGTAAACAGATGGAGGCTTATTTCTCTTCTCTGCAACTTTACCCAACATATAAAACAGCGGCCACGAATCTTCAGACAAATCTGTATCTTCCGGGGCATACAGAATTGTCGTATAGCATTTGTAGCTTTCGTCCAAAAGATCTTCTTTCTGTCTTTCAAGTGCCTCAAACTCTTCCATACTTAGAGATTCACTGTCTTGTTTCAGAAGTCTCGAACAATATGACTGTACACTATATACGAAATTTCCAAATTCTAACCATACGGTATAATTTTTAGGATTGAGTTCTAGCGCTCGTTTGAAACAGCGAATCGCTGACTTGGCGGGAATTAGATAATCTCTTTCATTATTTAGTTTTTTGTACAGGTTTAGGGACCTATCCAAAAAGAAAACCTTTGAAAGCGACAACAGAGCCCAGGAGTTGAATCTATCATTATTAAGAGTTATATCCAACATACTATATTTAATAGCTTTCTGGTGATCCTCCTTTTTAAAGTAATAGTCACTTAAATATAAATAGATATCTCTAATTTTATAAGGAAATTTTGGTGATATCTGAGTAAACTTTTCATCAGTACCCTTTATGTATTTATCTATTTCAGATATATATTTAGATGGATCGCATTCAGCAGGAAGGAGTGATAGAATTCTGTGGAACAGCCCCTCAGTTTCCGTTGAAATTTCAGGAATTTTTCCTTCAATCGCGGGTATATTAATAGGTCTGAATATATCGTAAATCTGTTCCGCTCTCTTCCAATCAAGAATTTTAGGCGTAGCCTTGTGATCCCTGAGATATTTCATTTTATTACTAATTTTGTTCGGATGTGCGTACAGACAAAAAACTACCTGTTCCATATATTGACAAATATTTTGATAGCAGTTAGAGAGTAACGGAGATCGCAGACATGGCGCGACTGTATCGAGAATGAAGTATAGGAATTCGCCATCGGAATTACAACACCAATTCCTTTCGCCTAAGTTGTCATGAGCAATGAATAGTAACATCAATGGGTACGGAATACCGTTACAGGATACGGAATCCTCATCCGTAACTGATCGTCCCCTACCACGATCCTCTTCTCGCTGTAGTATGCAATACATTATAATCCACGGCGAGAACGTATTGAATGGCATATCAGAACTATTGGTCTCTACTTGATGGCCGATTATCCGTATTAAATCTTCGAGGCCTTCGCTGAGCTCCTTATCACTGACTGAGTCTAAACACAATATTCCTTCCGTAAGTAGTATATGCTGTATGCTGGTCAATATTTTGATGACGACCAGCGTCCACGTCTCGTAATCATCAGAACCCTGAAGTGAAACGGAAATAATGTTTCAGGGATTCGTGCAGACTGATGAACGACCACTTCAAACAGTTATGAACATCGTCAGATGCCCAATAACTCTCCATAATAAGGGTTAGCTGAATCGTAAAATCCAAAGGCAACTTAATTTTTCTTTTCATAGCAATTATCTTGCATTCGTCGAAGAATTCAGTTATAATGGCGATCACTTCCTCATAATTGCCCTGGTTATATAATTCCATGACGGATAAAAGCTTTTTATTCCTCTCCATGGGGTGAACGAGTGATAGAATATGTTTTCTGCTAATTTCGCTTTTAAATTTAAAGTTTGTAACGTTGAGACTGTAAGTTTCAGCGAACTCGCCCATAGCGTGAAATTCGTCGAGAAGATCGTATCCAGTCTCCAACGCCAAGTCCTCGGATTTATTTAAAAATAAATGCACGTGTAATTTGACCCAAAGCGAGCGCAATATCATTTCCAAGCAGCTCGGATTGGAAAACAAATGCGGCTTCGAAGTTACTATCATATCAATAGCTGAAATTACATTTAAATCATGCCTGGACTTCTGCGCCGACTTTTGGATCAATTTTTCATTCACCGTCAGTTCTTCAGCGACCAAATTAACCTGGCAGAAATAAATCAAGTTCTGTGAGTCGTCCATACTAGTGGGGACTTCAACGTGGTTCTTGTAACACTCGGCAGCCGCTTTAAAAACTTTACACAACCCGTCCGACCACTTCTGATTCCATTTATCACTTAGTATTTTCAAATAATCGTGTAACATATCGATGATGTCTTTGCTATTTTCTGTATATAACTTTATGAAAGCCTTCACGTCCTTTTCTTCAGCCTCGCTCCCGAAATATTCGGTTTTATTGGTAATTTTGTCATCATCTTTATTAATGGACACATCGGGAAAGAGTTTGTCGAGATCTGACATATCCGGGGAGCTTTCTTTAGTTTGATTCTCCTTCTTTCGTATCGCCTCTGGTTCTAAGTGAAGGGGGACCATTTTTCGTAAAATATCATAAATATTGCCATTCCTTTTTCTTGCAGAGCCTCGTGTGAACCATTCCCATGGATGCAAAAAGCTCAATGCGCTTCCTCTCCGTCTAACAGAATTCTTCTTCTGCAATTTATCGTCTGTATTATTTTCTGTCGCTGATTCTGAAGCCACCATTTCAATATCACTTTCCACCTTCTCGCTGTCCGTCATTGCTTTGTCTTTATCTGATAGATCATTATTTTCATTTTCCGACACCGTTTCCATGACTTTTTCTGTGTCAGCAGTGTTGTCTTTTAATTTAGTCTCCGCTGATTTCAATTGATCATCTTCTTCACAAACTTCCATACATTCTTCTGTATTTTCTGTCTGACTGCTGATGTCTATAAAACAAGCGTGGCTGAGACAATGTTCTGTTTGATATTGGTGCATATGAACCAATGATTCACCGACGGCTTCCCAAGTTTCCTTTGCTATGGACTTCTTTAGCTTTATCCGTGGTACTGCATGAACGAAATTATCCCCTCTCTGTTGTTCAACAAACGACTCATAAATATCTTCAGCTTCTTTTAATAACTTATCTGCTAATGTTTCATCGATAGGACCATCCATACTTTCATTCCATTTATATATAGGATTCAAATCTTCCATATATTTTCTCATGTATTTATAAACTGTATATATATGTCTGCGATACACAATTCCCCTCAAATATCCAGGATCAAGTTGGAGAGCTTCATGAATAGTGATTATACATTGTTCTCTGTAATTTAATCCCAGTAAAAGTTTAATGATGTTGTCTAAACACAACCAGTGTCGTGGATTCCGTCGACAGCCGTGTTGGAAAGCCAGTAATGCTCTCTCGTATTGCTTAGCTTGCAAGCATAATAAGCCCATTCTGTACCACAAAGTGACATCAGTATCATCAAAATCCGAGGCGTCAATGTACGATTCTATGGCTGACTCTATGTCTCCGGCCTCTTGTAACATATATGCAAGATTCTTATAGCATAGATACTTTAATTTATGAAGTGGCCCGGATGTGACCTCACTGGGACCAGGTATTTTAACATTATCTAGAAGTTCTGTTTCTAACAAATCCTTTAACAACTGAGTTGCCTCGTCCAAACATCCTTTCCTCTGCAGTTCAAGAGCTTTAGCATATTGCTGGGACGCAATCTGAAGTAATGCTTCTGCTGAAGTCTGTATTTCTGAATCATTTTCATCTTCTGCATCTTTGTTTCCGTTTAATGTTGATATTTTAATCATGTTTCTTAATTCCTTCAACAAAAAAAAAGTTCGATTTATATTTGCATACAAGAAAAAAATTTTAAAACACATTAAGAATGAGATAACTATGTATTGATGTAACAAACCAGAAACGAGGCATTCCTAATAAATTAAAAAATTTGTCTTAAACTATTCATATATTTTTGTTTGTTTATTTAAAATATGGGCTTCATCCGTGCAAACATATTTATGAAGCCGGTTTTATTAAAAAAACTTCCATTTAATAACTCACCTTACTTAGCCGATTAATAAATCATAAACTAATGTAGTTTCATATTTTCTTAGGTCCAAATTTAACCATAAAAATAAATACTATTTCCATACTTTTACTATATTTACATCTAACCAAGCAGAATATATTTGACAATAAACATTAAGTATTCAGCTGTCGGCTTCCAGCACAGAGTAAATTTAGTTAGTTAAAAAATGTTTGCACACACATTTTTGTTTTAGACAGAAAAACTATAAATAGTTAGGTGTTATTGTCTCGAATAGGTTTATTTTCTATAATATGAATCGAATAGTTATAAAACACTGAAAATTTTTTCATATTATAAATCAAATAATATATACATTTATTTGGATTTATTATATTTTCTCGTACTTTACATCCCTTAAATTTTCTTAGCAATACCTATGAGGAAATACTCACCACTCATCAGGTAACGAAATATGCGCTTTAAAGTTAATATTTGCTGATAGTTTAGTTAAATTTATACAATAAAATTAAACTTACATCTGTTTTATAGACCTTTTGTCTCAACTATGGTGAACGACTTTTGTAAATATTGTTAATTTTATTCTTTAACTTTAAATTTTTAATAATACATATTCATTTTAATAGAATCGATCCAATAACTACTTGTAAGATCACGGACATACATACAGAATAGATATTATTTTGAGTGGCTATTGAATTTGACAGCTGACAAACGCTACTTGAGGTTATGTTGTGATTTGAAATTTAATTTACTTTATACAAAAATGATTCCTAAAAATGTCCTATTAAAACGTGTCTCACCATTAATATCACAAATCGCTGAAGCACATAGAAAGCCGCGATGGGAGCCGGTCGCGAAAAGCAAGATATATCGTATACCAAAACGTCCCGAGATTTCAGAAGAAGAACGATTGGAGTTGCTGCGAATAAATAATAACTATAAGACTCAGATGCGGGCCATTCGAAGATTTTATCATGAGGAGATGATGAGAGAGCTGTCGTCGCTAAAGAGTGCGAGTTCAGAAATGTCCCAGAAATTGGAGGCAGAAGAATGGGAGAAATGTGTTCATCTTAATGAAGAGTGGAATAAGGAGGTCGCAGCTGAGAGGGAACAGAGACGTAAAATTGAACTGGCTGCCATGGAGGAATACACACTCAAAAGAATGGAAGAGAAAGACAAAGAGATGAGGGAGAAAATTGAAAAAGCATCGGCAGAAATTAGACTGCAAAAAGTAAGTCTTGTTATGATCGCTTAAATTTTAACATTGTCATATACTTAGTTATATGTATATATTAAAAACAAATTTATGAAAACCAATAACATATATAATGTATATTATTAATATTTCAGGAATTGAGTGCAACCTTCATCACACCTGACAATCTTGAAGCGGCCATTGACGCAGCACTTGCCAATCCAATAGATTACAATTTTGCTATAGATCTTAAGGGCAATCATTTCTATGGTCGGGACACACCTATCGTGAATCAGGATAAAAAAGACAATGCCATCAATACAAACACATAGTGCTTTATTATTGTTTAATTTGTATGTCTTAGTGTCAATAAATATTTAGTTTAATCATGTTTTATTATATATTTGGTAGTTTTAACTATCATGGCTCTTAGCTTTGTAATATTTTCTAATATTTCTGACTCTTAGTGTTCAATACCAGTTGTAGTGTGGAATTAAATAGCAGATTATTTTGCAAGCTTTGATTTATGTATATGGACTTTACTATGGAGAGATGTATAGTTTTTTATATATATTAATAATGCATGTCATAATAGATATATGAACAAAAAAAGTAAATTATGTTCAACAAGAATTCTCATGCATATAAATATCTAGAGCCCATTTTTGCAAAGCCATTATTAAATTTCTTTTTGCAGCATGGAGTTCTTGTATGTACTGCTGAAAGCTTAAGTTACAGATAATATTATATCCTACTAGGCCCTACCTTACTTGATATAGAATATCATAATCTTTTTCTGTATGTAGAAATACAGATAGATGGATCAAAAATAAAATTGGCTCCAAGGATGACTTAGCTCAATATAGATAAGAGTGTATCAAAAACTTATTTAAAACCCCAGATAATATGAATCATGAACTTATCTAAATTACACCTATATATCATTTAGATCAGTAGTCCCCAAACTTATTTTTCTCGTGGACCACTTTCAAAATTTTATTTGTTTCGGTGGACCCCCTGCTTCTACCACATTCTTAAAGTCGCCAAAAAATAAAAATTGTGTCACTTCTGAGTTCTGTCTCTATATTCCGATAGGTAAAATAAAATTTTAGAAATTTTGGAAACAAATGAATGAGTGTTTGCCTTTGGCATCAAGTATTTATAGTGGTGATCAAGTTCATGTCTGAACAAGCATTAAGCATTGTCGGGCGGATAGCGCTTTGCAAGTCTGTACACGAAATTGTACGTAATATCGAATACGCAAGTTTGGACAAGTAACAGTCGCTTGCCTTATTAAAATATTATCTGCTTAGTTAGGTACTTAAAACAATGTAGGTAGGCCCTTATAAAAACTATGCTTACATTTTTGCTCTTTACTATCAAAAGCAGATAAATTTTCGTGGACCCCCATTTATTGTTCACGCCTACGTAGACCCCCATCAAGTCTCCCGTGGACCCCTGGGGGTCCACCTGGACCACTTTGGGAATCACTGATTTAGATGCTGTCTGAAGGAATGGTTATCTTTTATTTTTGTTTCTTCTATCATAATCTTTTTAAATATTTTTTTTCATTTTCCTATATCTGCCAAAGCCTCTTCCCCACCACTTCTCTTATATTATAGTCTTTTAAGGCCTGTTATAAGACATGTCATATTGTATGGAGTTACTAAGAAGAATCAGCTTAAGTTTGGTGTCAAGGTTGTACAAGATAAAAAATTACTGTTAGAGGCAGACTATAGAATAATATGTTGGTTGATGGAGAGGTAGGTGACAGGAGATGAGACAAATGACATGTGTCATATATAACTTATGAAATTATTAAACTATTTAGTTAATGTTACTTGCTGATGCATTAGATGAAAAGAAAATTAAGATATCTGCATCAATATTTTAAATTTAGTCTGGTTTATATTGTAATATTAATGACATTCATATCCAAAATAGCTATCTTATGTAGGTAGCATTGAGTATTACAAGCGACTTGGATAAATACAGGAAAGACTTAAGAATTTTGGTAAATGAAATAAAACTTTATATATTAAATATTATTTATTTTAGACGGACATTTTATTGAACATTGATTGCCAGTGCGGTGTTATGTTCAGTTTGTGATGAAGCGGGCCGAGTGACACCAGGCTAGCTGAACGTGACGCTTCGTCCACACCCACTGACACGACCTCCTGGTGGAATGAGGCTTTGGTGCCGGCACTCACCTGGATAAAAATATGACTTAAGAAACAGATCTTAAAGCTATATATAAAAACTAGAAGACCCGGCGAACTTCGTATTGCCCTATAATCAAAAAATATCTGTTACGTTTTTTTATTTATATTTTTGGAGTTTACTTATTAAAGCCATAAATCTCCGTGTTTTGAAGTGCGACAGAATGATTGACACATTAGTTGGTTGTCAAATCAAATGTCAAAAAAGACGTTTGTATTAACAACTACTAATAAATTAAAAATTAATTAAAAAAACATTGTCCACCGGACAAAATTGTGAATCTAAACCATTCCCAGATCCCCTTGTACACACACAAAAAATTTCATCAAAATCGGTCCAGTCTTTTGAGAGAAGTTCAATGACATACACACTCACAGAAGAATTATATATATAAAGATTGAGATCGCTGTCAGTATAGGGCCACTCTTAAAGTACACACGAATTTTTGGACTTTTGAATCCCTCCCCATTCCTTATCATTAGGGCCCGGATTAATATGTAAATACATATTTTTAATTTACGCGATTTTCGGTCTAGAATGTGTTTTCTACATAGACTGTGAAAAACCAACTTTTATTTTCCATATTTTAGCATATTTCAAAGTTAAGTCCATATTTTACAAGAAAATGTCACAATCATCCAAATATTCACAAAAATAGTAAATACATAAAATTTACGTTCCCGCCACTAATGTTTTGGATAAAAATAAAGGATTTAATACGCTAAAAAATTAACAAAATTCTGTGCGAAAGTTTCGAGTTCTATAGACATGGCTTACACAATTACTGAATTAAGCATGTTTAAGTATGCATCCATCACGTCATGTGACTTGAGATGAGACCAATCAGCAGATGTAATGCTATATTTCGACCAAATGGTCAGTTTTCATTTTGATAATTTAAAGAAGCACTTCATTGTGTATTGAAACCAATTTGATAAGGCTGGTGTAATGGAAGTTGAATAAAACTGTTATTTTTTGTTGAAATAAATATTTCGCTACTTTTTTTCATCGTTTTTTAAATGTAACTTAACGATTTACGTCACGACTGACCCCTTTCTTATAGTAAAACAATGTTTAATTATGAAAGTATTTAATTTTATACTCCGTATTTTTTCCATATTTTTGATTTTTTCGTCCATATTTTAGATTTTTTAATACATATTTATCCGGGCCCTACTTATCATATATTGTCAAATTTCTATGACCCCTGCTGATGTGACGTCATACATTTTTAAAATATATGTATGTATTTAAAATTCGTAATTTTTTAAAATTTTCCTTTCCCATCTAAACTTCAGTATATTAAACTTTCATATGTTACGTCACAAAGCTATTGCTCACACTCATGTCCCTTGTCACACGATGTCCTACTTCGATGACACCCTCCCTACATATTAACGTGTAAAATACTTTATGGATGACCACTATGCAAGATGTATGAGAAAAAATATATGACTGTATCCTTGAACGACCGCCGAACTTACAACATCGTGCATAAAGAAGCATTAACAAAACATGTTTATAATGCTATATTAAATGTATCAAAAAATGTTATCCTGTAACTGTTTACCATCTCAGAAATATATAAGGCATAAGAACAAGAATCCAAAGACATATTAGTAATTCATAATTTTTTTTTTGCAACTACAAATTACTGTTTTAATTCAAATATATTTGATAATTGACTAATTTTTTTATCGCTTAATTTCATTCCCAAGTACTGATACAGTAACCACTTAGTTCTACTTTAATTATAGTAACTTAATATAATTCTACCTCAAATATAGTATCTCCTAATGCCATGGTGACTCTGCCGGACCTGTGAATCCTCATCTTCCCTATTCTTCCTTCCTCGAGGTCACTCAGGTGACATCTGTTGTCAGTTTCCTGAAAAATATTATATTCAAGATATATCATGTGTAGAAAATAAGCACTATTTATATCTACAATATTATAAGCAATACATAAGGTAATATTCATATATATATTGTTTCGGGCTAGGGTTAGATTAGGAATATAAAGACGATATTCAATAGAAAAGACAAATATTCATTCCATTATAATCGCAGGTATAAATATCGCTGGCTGTTATGCTGTCTTAAAACCTAGCGGCCTTGTACACGACAATCGGATAAATAGAACATTCCAAAACAATCTCGTTTATATATCTGCTTGTTTCATGATCATGAAGAAAAGGAATATTGTAGTCAACATATAGCTTAATGCTTTTCCCATTCGTCACGAGATGGCGCTGACGCTCAGTCGAGAACATTCTACAATATTCACATCGCCAATTAAGGCCGGTTCAGCTATACGTATATATAGGTATATTACATAACTCACTTGTTCGGTAGCTTCCGAGGTCCCGGGTTCATGTTTTCTGTCATCACTGGCTCCACCTCTTCCTGGCAGAGAGTCAGCTAACTGGAAACACATTATTAATTAAATGGTTAACAAAAAGAAATTGGTCAAGCGAGTGTAGGACTTGTACATTGATGGTTCCATGTAATTTAAAAAATTTAAGAAAGACCTTTTATTTAAGCCACTTCAATAATCTTTTTTGGATTTCTTGTCAAATTTAACTAAATATCATTATCATAATCTTATAGTTCAATAGATATATTCTGATGAGGAACAGATGCTGGCATTACAGAAATCATATATGTATTTCATAAAAAAAATTACCTAAACATCTTAGAGACTCATTCATGCCCAAGAATTTGTTTCAGACACACATACCTATACATGTATATATAAAAGATTAACACATATAGGCCAGTGCAGATGCCTTTAAAATTAATGAAAAGTGAAAATAAATTATAATAGAATGAAACTCATTAGAAAAGGAGGATAATATTATAAAAATTAAACGAAAAATAATTTGGGGGCGATCTGAGGTCGGGAAGGGTATGGGGATGGGTATTTAAGGGTAAAAAATGGGTTTTCTCGATTTTCGGCAATACTACAAGTTCTACGGAAAAATGTTAGATGGCAAAGTTGTAGGTAATAAAAAGATCTAAAACTTTTGTTGTAACATTTTTTTCACATAACTTCAAATTTTATGTGAATAATTCGAAAAACCGAGTTTTGGTTTTTTATTTTTATCTCTTACAAAAAACAATATTTTGACACGAAATTTAGTGAAAACTTACCGTTTGATGTCCCAAATACACTGTAATTTATTTGATTAGAAATAATAATTTTTTCAGCTTATTTTGAATAAATATAAAAAAATCACCCGTCAAAATATCAGCTTTTTTAATCCAAAAACGGTACTGTAAGTAAGAAACTTATAGTTTTTTCTTCACCATCGGAATATAGAGATTTCAACAAATAGAAAACATACCAAATTTTTGAAAATGGCTGATATTTTGACGGGTAATTTTTCCATTGAAACTGAGGCTGATTTTTCGGTGTTTATTCAAAATAAGCTGAAAAATTATTATTTCAAATCAAATAAATTACAGTGCATTTGTAACATCAAAAGGAAAGTTTTCACTAAATTTTGTGACAAAATATTGTTTTTTGTAAGAGATAAAAATAAAAAACCAAAAACTTGGTTTTTCGAATTTTTCACATAAAATTTGAGGTTATGTGAAAAAAATGTTACTATAAAAGTTTTAGATTTTTTTATTACCTACAACTTTGCCATATAACATTTTTCCGTAGGACTTTTAGTATTGCCGAAAATAGAGAAAACCCATTTTTTTATCCTTAAATACCCATCCCCATACCCTTCCCGAACTCCTTTCCTTTCCTTTAATTTTTATAATATTATCCTCTTTTTCTAATGAGTTTCATTCTACTATAATTAAATTATGTTTTAAAAGCTATCGGCACTGGTCTAATATTACATAACTTATTGAGAAAGAAAGCCAAAAAAACATTTAACTAAGAAGTATCACCTAAAAGAACTCCACTGATTATTAAAATCAAATCAAACATTAAATAGCACATATTTGTTATATATGTAAACAATATATTTGCATACCTGTAACAATATGAGTGTAGGTTTGTCACTCCTCAACAAGTTCATAACACTCGAGTCTTCAAACACTTCCTTCACATCAGCCAACGGCTTCTGTTCTAACACGGCCGCTGGAACACAAACAAACAATAAATATACCAACTATATTAATAATACCCAACTTAGAGTACAAAATTATTAGACAAGCCATATATATTGAGGCCTCTATATTCAAAGCTCTATGGTAATGCCATGAGAAGCTGTTACTCTAGCACCATGAATGCCAGAGCAAAACTGTTCACTCCGATTATATCTGGTGCTGTAATAAATATCCTTACTGGATGGATCCTCGCTCGGCTCCTGTTTCACTGTCACCTCATGTTTGATCTTCACAGCGGCTTTTAATTGTTTAATGCCTAAAATAAATTAGCTTTAACTGAATCTCTTAATAATATTATATTCCTGTACACATTAAAATAGGACATGTGAATTGTCAAACATATAAATTGATATATATCCCTACTAATATTATAAATGTGAAAGTAACTCTGTCTGTCTCAGTTACGCTGTCACGCCTAAACCACCAAACTGATTTTAATGAAATTTGGTACAGACATAGAGTTGACCTTGAGAAAGAACATAGGATAGTTTTTATCCCAGACTTTTGAAGGTTTTCTTGGAAACGCGATATAACCGAACTCCACACGGGCGAAGCTGCGGGCGGAAAGCTACTATATTATATATGTATATATTACAATTTCATTTGGTCCACTGAGAAATTAATATTTCGCGAAATATAGTGGGATTTTAATGAAAATAATGCTTGTCTCATAAACAAAAATGCTTTGCAACAGTATTGAATTCTATGTAGTGACCTAAATCTATCTTTATTTACGTAAGTTTTAATAAATATTGTTCATTTATAATACAAGGAACCTTGGTTATAATTTGTAACCGATTTATTTTAATAGTAAGCTGTAGCAGATAACAGCTTATTAAGTTTCTCTACATAATAATATTATTTGTATCCTTACTTCCATCATCCATAGGTAACTTGATAGGAGCTTCGATATCCAAAACCTGTTTGAAGTCTTCTCCTTCATCATCAAAAGCATTGTTTTCACCAAAAGCCTCTTGAATCTTCTGTTCCTCCAATTCTTTATCTATCTGAAATAGTCTCATGCTATCATTATTCATATACATATGGTGTTTAAAATGTTTTTAGAAACTTAAAATAATATTATAATAGAATAATTCTATGATATTAATATAGAGAACTGCGATCATGTACAAAATATTGTAAATATCAGGAGCTATGTGTTGATTTTATTATAAAAAAATAATTTGAAGTTTGGGCATAACACAATTTATGAGACAATTTTCTTATATATATTGGCAAAATCATTGAAACTACTGTTTTTACATTTAATGCACCCCCTATTGTCTTGTGTGCATTTCATGTAAGCTGTATAAAGATTAAATACCAACATTTCCATTTAAATCACCCAAAAACTTGGTGAAAATATTATTTTTATACAGGGTGACTGGTGAATTACTATCAATATTTAAGGAGCATACTCGGTACATGATTCTCATTTGAATTATGTAAAAAAAATAGGTACTTAATTTTTGACCAAATTTCCCTATAAATAAATAAAGTGTGTACACGTTCCAAGTGTTCCAAGTGTGGACGCGTGCGGCGGCGTGCTGATACAACACTACGCCGCCGCCGCGTCTGTGTGAGTGTGTGTGTATACCTAACCTGTAGGGTGTTCATACGATGCGTAAATAATTACATAACTTTTGGTTAACTTTACTTAGAAGTTTATTAATATTTATGTTATATTAATTTTTATTTTGTCATATATGATCATCAAATATCACGTCCTCAAATATTGATAGTAATTCACCAGTCACCCTGTATATGTCACAATTTTCGACGGAATGAATTCAAATATGTGTACGCTTTACTATAATTGTCTTCTTACTGGCAATTTTCCAGCTTTAGCCAGGGTCTGCCTATAACACAGCTCGAATGTTTTGTTTCTGTAAATCTAAATACCTTTATAACATCCTTGACCCTCAGTGTAGGTTTCTGTAGAGTGTGTGAAGAATCAACCTCACGTCCATAGGAAACTCGACTGGAGTGATGCCGTTCAGCACTGCCCAGACCTGAAAAATTAATATAATACAACCATATCACTGGAAATACTTTATGAAAGGAATATATAAAATGTCTTTGTTCATTTGCAAAAAAATATTTAAATACTTTGAAGTAATTCCTTTTACCTTTATGCAACTATCTAGAAATATATCTCTATAAATACTATATAAAAAAATGATATTACATTTTAAGTATGAATAATGGTTTTGTTCATTTGCAAAGACAATTTTTAATATGTAAAGTACTTTTTTACCTTCAGAGAATACTCCACTAGACTTTATAATATTTGGTCCGTTTTTGAAATTCTTATTTTTATCGTTCTTGCGATCCCGTCTGTTTCGTTCATCTTTTTTGGAATCACGATTACTTGTTGACGAAGCACTGAAAAACGTAAAAGTTTTATAATATTTTGATCATTAATACATTAGAAAACAGTAGTTTATGTTTTTACCCTTTATTTTTATTCCTAGTTACATTTAAGTTTGGAGTGAAGATTTTTTTATTTGGCTTTAATCCACCAAGTGATAGATCTCTCGGGGCCTTAAACGAAGCTAATCTCTGTAGTGGATCCGAGTTAACACCATTCGCGTTTGGTTTATCACCGGAATTAGACATATTTAATTATTTTAAAGATTTATTCACTCATAAATTGTACTCGAGTTGATAATAATACAGCATGTTTATAATGTATATCAATCTATGAATTACCAGGTGTGACAGTTCTCAAGGGTCATTAATGTCATAACAAATGCACAATCTTGTAGTAAAATCTGTTTTTAAATAAATGAATTAAAGTATAATTTTATAAAATTCTGTTTAATTCTTAATATATTTATTATACTTTACAACTAGCGATTTTTATATCAAATTAAACTGTATTGGTCATCGATTGTTTTGAATCTGTATTCATAATTGTCAACAAACGACCGTTATTTTGACCGTTTATATTGTAAAAGAAAATCGAAAGTCGGATAGACCTTCAGCGATTCTTTTCTTTGTTAAAGTATAATACCAATTTAAAAATATGGGTGATTCTCTCTTTGATATTTTCGGGGATCATATTACTAGACAGGTTGTGAAGAATGTATCCAGACAGCCGATCTCCAATATTGGTAATTTTTCTTAGTTTTTTTTGTGTAAAACTAGTTTCCAGACTATTACTTCTAGTTTATTTCTTTATTTTTTTTCAGAAAATATGGGAAAGACCGTATCATCTGGCCCCATAAAGCCTAACGAGCCTTTGAAAAAGGGCGATACAAAGAAATCTTTCCTTTCCAATGCTGGAAAGGCCCTTCAAAGTACTCCGATGAAGAAAGTCTTCACACCAATTAATGTTGGACCGCTCATATACAGCGACGAAATAGCTAACGACAGTAAAGAATTTAATTTCGAAGAATTGGAATTTACTAAACCTGCATACAGATTAGGTATAGTATTTTTTTTTTAATAAGCAACAACTCTTACATATTCATCCTAATTATATAAAAAAAAAACGTTATTCATTATCATATTTATATAAATTGAATTTTTATTTTCTAGATAATTATCACAGAGATATATTTGACTTCCCGACCATACCGACTAGTCAGAGACATGAGATTACTCCTCCCAATACTCCGCCACCACTCATAAGGAAATATAGCATGGAGTTTGACTGTTCTTACCAAGATGAATTCTTTTCAGGTAAAACATTATATTTTATTACCAATATATTACCCCTAGTTATTTTGTTTTGAAAGTTTTAGTTGCAGTTTCTATAATGATCAAGACAGTTAATTTATATTTGTTTAAGCATTTCTCAAATGTTTTTGATAAAAACTTGTCTATTACTACATTAATATTCAGGTATAGACAAGTTTTTTATTTTTTTATTCAGATTACAAACTAAGGTTTTGAAAGAATGTATGGTATTATAATTTTTTCTCTAATACTATTATTTTTTAATATGTTTGTGTATTACTAAGCTTTTATTTCAAACTACATAATTGTTACAGATGACTTTTCCAACGAAAGCATCCCGGATTATGACTTGGGACTTCCAGAAATATTTTAGTAATGATCATAGAGGCATCGTAATTTATGTAATTCCAATACTCATTGACATTATTTGATAAATAAACATTCTTGTTGACAATGTTTATTGTTTAATACTTAGGGGTTGTCCATTAATCACGTGATCTTTTTTTAGCATTTTTTAACCCCCCCGCCCCCATTGGTGATACGTAGTGAGGTTTAAGATCACCCCCCCTCCCCCTTCTCAACATCACGTGTATTTTTAGTACCTACAACGAATCTTAAAATTTTCTGAATATTATCTTAATTTAAATACAGGTATAAACTATAATCTTATTTTATTCTGAAATTAAGGACCATAATAAATTAATATTTGTTTAAAAATCGCGCGTTAGACGAAAAAATAAATACACGAGATATCTTACTACACCCCCCCCTCCCCCTTGTGATATTTTCGTGATTTTTATCAAACCCCTCCCCCCCCTTTTAAGCCTCACGTGATTAATGGACAGCCCCTTATATGGAAACATGAAATATTACATGTTCCAGATATAAGTTGAATACATTCGGACATGTGCCTTATATGAAAAAAAAAAACAATTATTCTTTTTGTTAATATAAAATTTGTTTACTATCTATGAATTCTATAAAAAACAATTGACCTATATAAATATTGAATTTTTTTACCCTTCCAAGCTATTGAAAAACATGAAAAAATTTTTCACAAATTTAAGTAATTTTGACTTGTTTTTTTCTAGAATTCATACATTAGGTATAATAATTGAAATAAGTTTCAAATAATCAACAGTATTATTATTTATTAAAAAATAAAACGATTACATTAATGCTTAATTTTCTTATACATACATTTCCTTAAACTAAAATATATATATGTTCTATGTTAAATATTTCTTTCCGAGCAGCTGAACCTTCTTTTCAAATGCAGGAAAGTTGATGACAGTGTCTTCCTTGTAGAATGGATTTAACAATAACTTTATATAACATTCATATACATCTGTGAAGAAGTTTTTAATGCCGTCTTCATTTCGAGCGTCATGTACCATCACAAATCTCATCTGTGGAAGAATTTGTTAAATATTCATGAAGCTCAAATGGCTTATAATTTGGGAAATTGTTTATTTTTAATATGAAAAATTATCAATTTGGCAAACTTAGTTATTGATTGTAATTATAATTGAAAATATTCTTATAGACTTTAAAAACTATTATTTCTTATAAATTTCAAGTTTTTTGTGAGTAAACTTATATAAGTAACTTAATTATTTACAGTTTTTGATTAGTTTATGTTTTAAAGCAAAACGAAAGTGATTTTTAACAATACCTGACTAGCGGTGACAAAAGCCGAGACGAACCACTGGTTGAATTTATCAACGGATTTCAAATAAGTGTTGGTGACTTTCCACATGTGCTCGTCAACCAGGTCCAGGGCTGAGTGAGCGATGAACTGGTTTAAGTGTCTATTGTCTTCTTTCTTAAAAACATCAGAACTTAATAATAAAAACGAATTGGACAGGTTTTGAGAGTAAAATAATTGATACTTTAGTAAAAACGCGTTAAAGAAGAAACTACTATGATTAAAATTATTTCTAATGCATTAATTTCTTAAATACCTTAACTTCTTTGGTAACTGGAATGAAATCCATTTCGAAAATCGGATTATCGGAGTGGCCAACAATAACGAAGTAATATGTGCCGGCCATTTTTTTGTTACTAGTTTATAGAGTAAAACAAATCCTATTTATGTCATTTAATATACTAATATTTAATTATTATTTATTGGAAAATAAATAATATAACTTCCTATGATCTTACATGACATTGACATTTTCGTACAGATTATTAACAAAAAAACACGTAGATGTTACAGTTACGGGAAAACTAATTGTACATAATCTTAGCAGCAAATTTTAAACAAAAAAAATAATATTTTTCAATATTAAATCATTTGAGATATTTTAAATTATAAATGAGAGATATCCACGTAGTAATCAGAAGTAGTAATCGAAGCATCTCCCCATGTAGAAAATTTATTTACTTTGAATAAGTTATTTAAAACCTGCCTTTTTAAATAAAATAAAACATCGACTAATAAGAGTGAAATATTTTAAGAATATTTACATAAAACAAAATTATTTTAAGAATCTACTTATAAGTCATTACTTCACCGAAGCTATAAAAAAATTGTTCTAAGTTTTCCCGCCAATTTAATATATTTTATTCTATAGGCAAAATTAGAATTTCAACATAACTCTTAAGTCGTGTCGGTTATAAATATCACACTTAATTGCTTTCAATTAATATATTCGCACTAAAAATGAGTAAGACGTATTAATTATTAAAAAAATATATAAAAGGAAGCAGTTATTAACGCAATTTAATTATTTTAGATACAGTTTCATATCATATTGATAATTTGCGAATGTGGAAAAGTGGAAATTGGGTGAAATATGATACTAAAGCTTTCCCTTTAGTATTAAGACTTCACTATGACCAACTTCTTATTACAATGGACCAAAAAGTTATAGAATCTTTAAATATTAATAGCAAACTAAAAGGCATTTTCAAAGATGACGTACTTATATTAATTATTAGCGTTATTGGACAAGAGGTTAGGAAAATATGTAAAAATGTGTTCTAGGAGTATCAAAAATATATGAACTCGTATTTATTATAGGTCAGAAAAATTAAATTTCAAATTAAAGAAAATGTTAACCAGTGCTTACAAAAATTAGGTTTAAGATTTCCTGTGTTAAAATTTGGTTCAGAGGCTTCTAGAAAGAAGTTTAAAGGAAAATATCGCAATATAGAGGACATATTGAAGAAAACATTTGAAATAAAAGGTTCGTATTTTGTATTTAAGGTTTTTTAATTTGGCTGTACTGTAAAATAACATGTGTATTTTTTTTACAGATTCATTGCATACACCAATAATGCCAGCTGAATATAAAAATTTCGTAAAATTGTGTCTTCTTGATCCATCGTTTCCCCAACTTGTGATTGAAACAGAAGACATAATAAATGAATATTTAGAAAAGACTGATGTATAAATTAAAATAATATGAAATTGATTTCTAGATTGATATTATAATTTTATAAATTTGATTTTGTTTGTTAAATAAATTTAAACTTTGAATAAAATTTGATAATTATTTTAAAAGTCATTTTTATTATCAGTTGTCAGGAGTTGCCCGATGTCATTTTCTCTGTAAGTCAAATTCAAAAATAGCCGTTTGTTTGGGAAAGACTGTTGATAAACTTCAAGCATAACAAATTATAAATATTCACTAACTTTTAATTATTTTCTCCAATAATAGTGGAATAAGTTCTTTTAGACTTTAATCATGATGTCTAATAGGTATACGTTGGGACAATCTTCAATACGGAAATCTAGGTGCCTTTGTTATGATCTATTTTGAATTTTTAAATTTTACCATGAGTTTGTCACTATGAAAGTTCGTATTTGCAAGTTTTAGCTAATAGATTGTGTTAAATATAGATTAGAAGGCAAGCCTTCTCTCCTTCCTAAGCCTCGTCGGCCGGGGTCAAGTGATCGTTTATCAACGGATTCTCGCCGTCCTTCTGCAGCGGGTCATAGATCAAGCAGCGCTGATCCGCCCAGAGGAACCTTCGGCTCTCGATTAAGTAGAGAGGCTTCAGCTACGAAGCTACCTGTTAATGGGGTGAATATTCAATATTATTTAAACGAAACTAATATTTTTCGGATTATACTACGCAACTTTATTTTTGTTAAAAACTCCATACTCCCGACGTTTCGGCTAATTTTCAGCAACCGTGATCACAGGTAGACGAGTTGTGAATTTAAATGAAAATATTCATAGTTCTTGGGATCTTTCATCCATATTTGATATCTAGGAGTTTAAAATTCTATTTTTAAGCCTACGATTTTTAATATTTAATGATAATTGCTATTCATTCCTTTTTCAGAGGTCCAGATCACAAACAGGTGATGCTAAGTATGGTGCGGCCACCACAACTCCACTGCGAGCGGGTCACTACAGAACTACTACTACCCCACAAGTAACATATAAATTTTAATTTAACATAATGTCACTTAAGTTTAGTTGTTATTTTTTAATGTGGTAGCTAGCTAGTCAGTTATAACAGCTTGAACATGGGCTGGCTCGATCGGGGAAGCACTACCCTCACAGAAGATTGGTGTGAAGCAGTTTTTTAATGGCTGTTTTATCTGATGAGTGAGAGAGACACTTGCCCTTTCACTGTTCCCACTCTTTCCTCCTTCTTGAACTAGCTATTAAGTCGAGCAACATTTCTTATATTGCAGATCCCTGGCAACTACTTCCCGTCAAATAGTTTGCCATCTTTAATAGTTGTTTGAATTTTGAATAAACCAAATCATTTAAAATGATTTTGTATTACATCAAATACTTAAAAATTATTTATAAATATTTAACAAAAAAAGCATAATTTCTTTTAATTTATTTAAGATCTATAATATCCTGTTAAGACATTTCAAATGATTCACTTCTTTCAATAACTCAAATTATATATAATTATGTTTTTATTGTTACACATATATGTATACAAAGTAATAACGCTTTTATTGATAATTTCAGAGAACCCCTTCAGAGGATCGTCTAAATCGTGATTGGAAGACTTGTCTTGAAAGAGCTCTTGCCTTTGTAACCATCAAAGATCAGAGGTACATATTAACATACTGACTTTACAATCTTATTATATTAATATCCCTTTAAACCTACACCTGGGTCGCAAGTCCCATGCACTTGAAGCTCCTCTCCCTGTAACGATGGACCCGACACACGCACGGTGAATACATTGAATGCTAAGAAGTTTCATCTCAATATTAATGTTATGTATTAGTTATATTTGCTTGGTATTGTTAAATAATAAGTGTAATGTGAGTAGATCACTGTATTATATTAGGTTCCGTCATTCAGTTTTGCTACTTATCACAATACATACATGACAAAGTTAATATTGTTTTATTGAATATTACAATTAACATAATAATGTTATTAAGGATAATTATGTGGCAAGATTAAATGTGTGTAACATAATAAATAGTTATATCAGTACAAGTGAAGTGTTATTATAATAATATTGTTATATTATTTGATGACAGGCCGATATCTAATGTGGCCTGGCAGCGTTCCGAGTGTGCAAGGGTCGGTGAGGCTCTGGCCCAGAGGGAGTCTTCGATGGCTCTGATCCGTCCGCTGACCATCACACGGTTCGTGGACACCGTTGGAGCCCTACTGAACGCTATCACCATGGACGCTAAACTTAATAATGACAATTATGTTACTAAAGTTAGTATATTAACAACTATATTGATGGACATGTATGAAAAACAATTTTAAATCCCCGAGGATATTTGTGCGTCGGCCTCCAGACCAAACATATTTTTGTATTGACCATACCATCAAGGTCAACAAATATTACGAGCTCACTAACGAACTCGCTCGAAATAGATTCGTCGTAGATTTGTCGTAAAACGTTACGATGCGTTACTAGGAGGTGTCTCTTACAAAACGTTACGTAGCATTGTTTCTAAAAAAATATATTAATAAAAACCCCCAAACTGGCAACTTTTTTCATATACATTACATTGTTGACCAGATTGTATTAGTCTGGTCGATATTTTTATTTGTTATTCCAAGTTTGCAAACCTCTTAATTGATATTTTACGGGGAATACATAGATTGCATTGTAAGTCTTTTGATGAAATTGATCACTCGATGTTACGTAACATTTTAAGAGGTGGTGGGGGGGGGGGGCTACAGAAAAACGTTACTGTGCGTTACGAACATGCGTTGCGAACGCTCCCACTCACATTAATACATTCTTGGAATTTACATTAAAGGCCGCCCTAGTAGGTTCTTTTCAAATTTGGTTAGGTAGAGAGAGGAGGTTGGACGGTGGAGGTGAGCGTTTAACGCGTGTTACATAGGAGCCCCCTAAACCTACACCTGGGTCACAAGTCACAGTCACTGTTGAAGCTCCTCTCACTACAACAATGGCTCCGATACCGGCACGGTGAATACTTTGAATGCTGAGAGGTTTCGTCTCAATATTTAGTATTATAATGCTATATGGTGTTTTTAGTACTATAACATTGTATTGTATGTGTATGTTTCCAGTTGCCTCACTTGTCCAAGCGTGTTCTCTACCCCGGGACAGTAACCAAATCCTGGCTACGCACAGTCAACACTCTGCATGCCTTCCCTCATGCGTTGGCGCTGGTCGCTTACTTATTGGACCTCGTCACACATATAGTGAGTATATTAACAACTATTTTTATATATATTGGAAGTATTTTATATTAGCTGTGTCCCGCGGTGTTACCCGTGGATTTTTGGGATTTCCGGGATGTAAAGTAGCCTATGTGTTATTCCTGGACGTCAGCTTCCTGTATTCAAAATTTTATCGATTTTGATAATTCAAAATTTTATCGATTTTGATTGATTCAGCCGTTTGAGCGTAGCAAACATACACACACACTCACAAACCTTTGCAATTATAATATTAGTAGGTTAAAAGGTTCAATATTTTTTTGTGTGTGAGTAAAAAATATATAAACATAATTATGTATGTACTTGTATTTTATTTAATTAATACATTTTTTAAAATGAGTGATTAAACTTTATGGTTTTTGTTTATCATGACTTTTCCTTATAAAAGACTAGCTTTTGTCGTGACTTCGTCCGCGTGGAATAGTGACTTCCGCAATATTTTTAGTTCTTCCCACATAGTCCCCGTTCTTGCGGGGTTTTCGGAATGGTAGAGTTCCCGTAGAATTTTCAGGATAAAACCTATGTTTTTTTAAAATTCACAATGAAGTATGTACTCTTAACCAACAACATATTTATTTGGTTATTTGAATAAAGATTAATATTATTATGTTGATACAACTTAAATTATTTCGACCAATTTAGGTACCATAAAAACGGTTTTTGTGAGTTAATCTTAAAAGATAGACATATACTGTCGCGGACTGTTTTTTAGATCATTAAAAGAGCTATTATTCTTTAACACATATTTTTTGTGTATCTTGAACCGTTTTCACAGCGCACGCAACGGAAGGCTTCAAAGATGAAATAATTTCTCCCGTTTTTTACACATTTACCACTATATCTTTGCTCCTATTGGTCGTAGCGTGATGTTATATAGCTCACAGCCTTCCTCGATAACTGGACTATCCAACGCAAAAAGAATTATTCAATTCGAACCAGTAGTTTCGGAGATTAGCGCTTTCAAACAAACAAACAAACTCTTCAGCTTTATAATATTAGTATAGATTAGGATAGATTATCTACTTTTTCTGTGTGTGACTAAATAATTTGTAAACATATGTATTTGTCTGTTATGTAAATACTTAATGGATTTTAATAAAATTTGTTATATAATATGTAAAATAGGTAACTAATATATTCTGTATTATAATAATTTATATTATTATTATACCTAAATATAAATAAGTACACGTTCTTCATCAATTTCCAGGAGAGTCCAGTAGATGATGAATGGCTCTACGCCAGTAAGGATGACTTGAGCTGTCTACGAAGAGACTACCTGTATAAGTGTTGGATGAGGTAAACATACTTTAAATGTTACAAATAACTATTGAAATAGACAGAAAATAGTAAATACAATACATATTTAAGTCAAAGAAAGCTTTTTCTTACATTAACTTTGTATTTATACATACTAGCTGACCCGGCGAACCTTTACCGCCCTATGATCAAGAAATATCTGTTATAGTAGAGGATCCCGATATAAGCGACCTTCACCGAGATGTTTATTTGATGAAACATATTTTATATTCAATTTAATATGTCAATAAATATATTACATATGGGTTGCCTCATAAATTTTAGTCCAGGATATGATTAATTAACAATTAAAAAAAGATTTTTTTTTCAAATATTTCACCGGTTTGTTTATTAGATAAATTCCACACCAATCGAAATCACGGAGCCCGTAGAATATGAAAACGTTAGGTTGCCTATTCTTTTCCAGTCACAACTCTTGGGTTGCCAGGGATAAACAGGTACATCGATAGTAGCATTTTGCACCGGTCTGATAATTTAATCAAATTTAAATGAAAATAAAGATTATTTAATTATGAACACGGTGAAATAGGGTTGCCTGCGAAAAATCGGTCCTAAATTAGGGTTGTCGAATTTTAAAAAGTAAAATATTGCCGCGAGTGAATATGTACGACTGAGAGGTCCCAAGCAACTGTTCCGTGCGTTAGAAGAGGACAGAGCATAACAGCTGCGTAAGGTCTTCCCATTTAAAGAAAGAGAGTGTGTATCAGTGGCGGCTGTACCTTAAGTGCACTCGTGCGCTGAACCACCAATTCAAAAGATTGAAAAATTACAAAATATTACTTCATCTTTATTTTTAAATTACCATTTTGATATTTATTTTTTATACATATGAAAACGTATAAAAAACGAAATTTCCTAATATTATAGTCAAAAAGTTTGAGCGCTTTACTTAACTCATATCGTGCGCTTCGGCGAATGCACGAGGACTGCCAATATATCTTGTATGAGATACGCATTAATACGCCTGACGCGTGAAACAAAAGATAGTTCATAGAAATGTACCGAGTAATGAGTCGGTTCTCGAGCGCCGCACGAGCGGCCGAAGATTACCGAGAGCACCCGATGTATGACGAATTGAGCCGTGATTGACATCTCGTTATGTTTTGTTGCATTTTCTAATTTAAATATTTTTGTAAAATGCACCACCAGTTCGATTACCCACCAGCCACCACTGGTGTGTATGCTATTTGTCAGTGCAACTGACAAGGATAGCGATAGACGTGTATATGCTGTGTATCATTTTGGAGTAAAGTATTATTATTATATTAAAAATAGAAGAATAGTTCTTTAATATTAATTTAATTATTTATGTGTATATATTTTTAATGTGACATTAAAGTATATATATATATATATATATATATATATATATATATATATATATATATATATATATATATATATATACAGGGTGACTGGTGAATTACTATCAATATTTAAGGAGCATACTCGGTACATGATTCTCATTCGAATTATGTAAAATAAATAGGTACTTAATTTTTGACCAAATTTCCGTATAAATAAATGAAGTGTGTACACGTTCCAAGTGTTCCTAGTGTGGACGCGTGCGGCGGCGTGCTGATACAACACTACGCCGCCGCCGCGTCTGTGTGAGTGTGTGTGTATACCTAATCTGTAGGGTGTTCATACGATGCGTAATTAATTACATAACTTTTGGTTAACTTTACTTAGAAGTTTATTAATATTTATGTTATATTAATTTTTATTTTGTCATATATGATCGTCAAATATCACGTCCTCAAATATTGATAGTAATTCACCAGTCACCCTGTATATATATATATATATATATATTTTTAAGGAGAATACTCGGTACATGATTCTCATTCGAATTATGTAAAAAAAATAGGCACTTAATTTTTGTCGAAATTTCCGTATAAATAAATAAAGTGTTGACACGTTCCAAGTGTTCCAAGTGTGGACGCGTGCGGCGGCGTGCTGATACAACACCACGCCGGCGCACGCGTATGTGTGAGTGTGTGCGTATACCTAATCTGTAGGGTGTTCACACGATGCGTAATTACATAACTTTTGGTTAACTTTACTTAGAAGTTTATTAATATTTATGTTATATTAATTTTTATTTTGTCATATATGATCGTCAAATATCACGTCCTCAAATATCGATATTAATTCACCAGTCACCCTGTATATATATATATATATATATATATATATATATATATATATGTATACGCAGCTGTTATGCTCTGTCCTCTTCTAACGCACGGAACAGTTGCTTGGGACCTCTCAGTCGTACATATTCACTCGCGGCAATATTTTACTTTTTAAAATTCGACAACCCTAATTTAGGACCGATTTTTCGCAGGCAACCCTATTTCACCGTGTTCATAATTAAATAATCTTTATTTTCATTTAAATTTGATTAAATTATCAGACCGGTGCAAAATGCTACTATCGATGTACCTGTTTATCCCTGGCAACCCAAGAGTTGTGACTGGAAAAGAATAGGCAACCTAACGTTTTCATATTCTACGGGCTCCGTGCTTTCGATTGGTGTGGAATTTATCTAATAAACAAACCGGTGAAATATTTGAAAAAAAAATCTTTTTTTAATTGTTAATTAATCATATCCTGGACTAAAATTTATGAGGCAACCCATATGTAATATAGTTATTGACATATTAAATTGAATATAAAATATGTTTCATCAAATAAACATCTCGGTGAAGTTCGCCTTATATCGGGATCTTAGACTATTACCTTTTTATCTGAATGAAGTGAATTTCTTTATTAAGTATAACTGACTCGGCAGACAATGTTCTGTCTTATTAACTGTGATTATTTACTTATAATTGGTATATTAATACATGAAAATTTTTCCAAAAATAAAGTGTTTATTATTCTAACGCTTTATGATACACAATACTCTAAGTTTTATTTACTGGCGCTTATATAAATAGTTTTATTGGTATTCCGACACGTTAACAGGCAACATATTATGTATAATTGTCCATGTGAAAAACATGAATTTTCAATATTAATACCGCAAAGACTTAGCGACTGCCCTTGTGGTTCATTTATCCACATTGCAAATGCTAGCCGCAGTGGAAATTGTAACCGTTTAAAATCGAACGGCATGTCGTTAATTTATTTTGTATTCTTGTTCATGTTTTTTTATTTATACTATACTAGCTTTCCGCCTGCAGCTTCGCCCGGCTGGAGTTTAGTTATATCGCGTTTCCAAGAGAACCTTTCAAAAGTCTGGCATAAAAACTATCCTATGTTCTTTCTCAAGGTCAACTCTATCTCTGTACCAAATTTCATTAAAATCAGTTCAGATGTTTAGTCGTGAAAGCGTAACAGACAGACAGACAGACAGAGTTACTTTCGCATTCATTAGTAGGTATAACTGACCCGACAGACAATGATGTCTTCTCAACTGTGATTATTGAATTCTAATTGATATATTGGTATTGGTATAAATCAAAATTATTCCAAAAACAAATTATATATTATTCTAATTCTTTATGTTACACAATTTTCTTCGTTTTATTTTTTATATCTGACAGATTCCAAAACCCCGGCCATCAGTTTGAGGATCTGAATGAAGAATACTTGAATAACTTGAGGTGTCTGTTGGGGAACGATGAGGAGAAGATTAAGGAACTGGAACAAACTATACAGAGTGAGATTATAATAATATATAATAATATTAAATATATTGCTTGGATTGTCTAATAAAAACTTTGCCTTGAATAATCTTCTTCTACCTGGCAATTTTCCCAGCTTTTAGCCAGGGTCTGCCTTACATGTTCACAACATAGTTTTTGGCTAATTGTTTTTACCGCCGCCTGCCTGACATCAACCATCTTTGGGAATGCATTAATCAGTGATGTCTAAATATTCTTAGAAAGTACATATAACTTGGAAAAATCACATTTGTACTTGCCAGAGCCAGGATCGAACCCGCCCCTTCATTCATAAGAGGCGGGCCTTTTAACCACTAGGCCACCACTGACTTTCTAGAAGTATATATAGTCTTAATCTACTTAGAATTTATTTGATATAACAGAATACTCCGCGTGTCTGAATGACGAGGCGGAGGCTGCGGCCCGGGCGGAGGTGGCGCGCCGCGAGGAGAGGCGCTCCGCCCTCGGGGCTGCGTTGAAGGCAGTCAAGACAAGTCGCAGGGACACGCGGGCCGCCAGCGAAGCCCTACGATCAGCCGCCAGGGACGCCGACCAGGAGGCCAAGATGATTGACGCTGATGTAGACAGAATCAGGTGATGAGATAACTCTCGAGTATATATGTAAGCTATGTTCTGTTCTGTGGCGTCACTCGTTATATAACCACCCTCGATATAGCAACCTCCTGGTTGACACAACCATCGCGACCAGCCTTGACATCAGACACTGTCCAAACATGACTCACGTGAACATTAACACACAACCAACACTCAATAGTTTTGGAATAAATAAAGAAACAGGTTTTTAATTTTTAAATATTTAAATGAAAATAATATTTGCAGATTATATATTATTTTCAACTATATACTGCCGTGATCACGGATGTGAATGATTTGACTGAGCCGATGATCATGGTTGCTGTAAAGTATCCGAAACGTTGGGAGTATGTAGTTTTTTACAAAAATAAAGTCGCATAATAAATCCACAAAATATTAGTTTCATTTAAATGAATACGACTCCCGAGAATCTTAGATCTCATAACATGCTTGGATATTACTCTACATATAGAAAACTGCTATTGAGTAGCTCTGATTCATAACATGCTTAATCCTACTAATATTATAATTGCGAAAGTTTGTGAGTGTGTGTGTATGTTTGTTATTTCTTCACGCTGAAACGGCTGAACCGATTTTGATAATTTTGTATACAGGAAGCTGACGTCCAGGAATAACATATAGGCTACTTTACATCCCGGAAATCCGAGGGTAACATCGCGGGGCGCAGCTAGTATTAATATAATTGGTTACCACTAACTAATAGTATACCTCCTGTCACGTATCTAAACCTGGTCTTCAAATGTTCTTTCCTTTTCTTTTATTATCTTAGTAATTTCGTACTAACCACTACAGATTAAATAAAACCAGGTGTGACGAATGTTAACAAGTTATATGTTTAAGTTACTAATGTTCTCAAATAAGTGACTATGTATTGTCTTGTTGAGAATAAAGATCTTTAAACCTTTCTATATACAGTGCGGAGCTGGAGCGAGTGACTTCAGAGTTAGAATCGCAAGTGATGTCTCGCGAACAACGAGCCAGGCTACTCGACGATCTGGATTACGCTGTGAGGGTCCACGACTCGAAAATGACGCTGGCTGATGAAATACAGAAGGTTTATATATATGATTTATTAATATACTCTTTCTTATTCTTCTTCTACCTGGAAATTTCTGCTTTACATGGTAAAAATCACATTCGTACTTGCCCGGGCCAGGATCAAACCCGCGCCCTCGGCAATGAGAGGCGGTCTAACCATTAGGCCACCACTGACTATATACAGGGTGACTGGTGAATTACTATCGATACTTGAGGACGTGATATTTGACGATCATATATGACAAAATAAAAATTAATATAACATAAATATTAATAAACTTCTAAGTAAATTTAACCAAAAGTTGTGTAATTAATTATGCATCGTGTGAACACCCTACAGATTAGGTATACACACACACTCACACAGCACGCCGCCACACGCGTCCACACTTGGAACACTTGGAACGTGTCAACACTTTATTTATTTATACGGAAATTTGGTCAAAAATTAAGTGCCTATTTTTTTACATAATTCGAATGAGAATCATGTACCGAGTATTCTTCTAAAATATTGATAGTAATTCACCAGTCACCCTGTATATGCTCTTTACTCTTTATTTATACTGACTATATATACTATTTATATACTCTTTATTGCATACCGATATAGACAAAAATGGTAGGAGTAAAACAAAAAAAAGAAAATGAACATTAGGCGATTATCGCTAAAACAGCGAGATATTCCAGGCAATCTTTATATATGTTTATTATACGTGGTAGAGACTAGTGGTCATACTACGGCTCGAACATGGGTTCGCTTGATTTTGGAAGTATCACACTCTCATAGAAAATCGGCGGGAAGTAGCTTTTAATGGCTGCATTTCGTCTGATTAGTGAGAGAGCCAGTTGCCCTTTCCCTTATATTCCCACGCTTTCCTGCATTTTTCTTATTCCCACCTCTCCCTATTCGTAAAAAAACAAGCTTTAGAATTAGAAAGAAATGGTCTCTTTAACATTGATTGAACTATAGAGAGTAGTTTAGAGTTGACAGAAATTATTTACAATGTGCAAATAAGGAATATATTTCATGTTGATATAGTTATAATAGCTTTTGGATACATGGTGTTTAAACTATGTACTTAAGCATCCAAATTTATCAGAATTAAAATATTTCCAATGAAATTATGTAATAAATAATGCATTGAAATTAATTTTGTTGTTATATTTGTACTCAAAGTTAGTCAGTGGTGGCCTAGTGGTTAAAAGATCTGCCTCTCATGCAAGAGGACGCGGGTTTGATCCTATCAAGTACCAATGTGATTTTTTCGAGTCATATGTACTTTATAAGAGTATTTAGACATCACTGATTAATGTTGATTCCCAAAAAGGGGGTTGATGTCAGGCAGGCGGTCTGTCGTAATAACAATTAGCCAAAACTATTCACAACATGTAAGGCAGACCCTGGCTACAGCTGGGAAATTGCCAAGAAGAAGAAGAATTTGTACTAAAAGTATATTATTGTATGTAGATGGTGTCAAGCAAAGAGACGGATCTGGCTCTGTGGCAGAAGAAGACCCTGGACAGCTGCGGCGAGTACCGGCAGAGACTCATACACCTGGCAGGCCTGCCAGCGCTCAACACACTCGCCATAGATGAGAAGTACATAACAATAATAATAACTTGTAATATAAATTATATAGAGAGGCAGACGGAGGTTCAAGGACAACTACGAAAATTACTTATATGTATATTAAAATAAGAATTACATGTTAAAACTTATAATCTATACCTAAGACTACATGATTGTCCCGATGTTAGGATAGCAATACCATTCCATAGCTTGTGTGTTATCAGGAATCTTCTGGTTCACACGGCTTGGTGTTCGTTCTGCGGAGTCAGCGGCGCCACTCGTTATATGATATTTCATCCATACAACGATGTCGCCCTGGCGATTTTTCCACCGAGATACAGCCAGCTGACGTATATATTTATCAATGATTACATATAAGCTATCATCTGGTAAATTTTTAGCCGAGAAAAAATGAGTGAATTTATTTTTTTTCTTCAAGCGTTTGAGGTTACAACTGCTTACCCCACCCACTACGCCGCAGCTGACGGTCATAGGGCTTTATGATACTGTTGTCTGATGCGTATCGCCAATTATCTAACGAGAAGAAATAATTAACCAAATTTGCACCTGGCTCTCGGGCTATATGTTTATAGTTCTCCGTGAACCTCCGGTTGCCTTATATAATTACTACATGTTGTTTGCTTGTTTCAGTTCGTTGATGGGCGCGGAGTGCGTCCCTCTAGTGTCGCGCGCCGTGGACACGCTCCGTGAGGAGGCAGCTCGCCTGGCTGCGAAGAAGAACGACCTCGTGAGAAGTAGGAGCGCTCTGGCTAGGAAGAGATGCGCTATGATGGTGAGGACATAATATAACATGCTATAGTGCGTTTGATTTAAGCTGAGCTTTGCATCTGTGTGAGTGCACACGGATAGTGTAGGTGAGATGTCAAATTATTGAATGAAACGTTATTTTCTAGTTTTAAACCGGTTTGTACAGCTTTTACATCACCCCGCACCTTCCTCACTTCACCTTTTGTATTGGTAGCAATATCAAATGTTGAAAACGCAATGTCAAGTGAATAAGAATTTGTAGTTTTTTCAAAATTCTTATTAATCGAAAACTTTTTTCCCTCAATATTCAAAATATTTCCATCTAGATTTTTACAAGTTTGCTTATTTTATAACACTTATGTTATGTATCTATTTAAAATATAATAAAACTTAATTCTAAAAGTTTTTTGTCTAACTCTACTTTTACTTTCACTCACACAAATGCAAAGCTCAGCTTAAGTCTAACGGACTATACGTATTTGTTTATTTTTTTTTTTTGCTACACACATACATTACATAGTATACTATACAGTTATACAAAAGAAAAACAAATTTTAAAGAATACAGTGTAGTGGGTCCATCTCAGTATAAGCTGTGCTAATGCACAGCACTGATTTTCAGATGGCCTCTGAATATTAGGTAAAAATATATACTTGGTTATATTTACTTGGTGGTAGAACATAGCTGGGAAAGTACCACACTCTTACAGAAGATCGACGAGGAGTAGACTTTAATGGCTGCGTTTCGTACGATGAGTGTTGCCTTTCTACCCAATCAAGGGTGGCAACGTATACGCATAATACTTTTGTTGATGTCCATGAGCAACGGTACTACCTACGTCAAGTAGGCTGTCTGATCGTTTGTCATATATAAAAAATAAAATAGAGCTAGTGTTTGAACTGTTTATGTCAGAAGTCTGTTATATGTGAGAGAACTATAACTGAAAATAACTGCTTATTGACCCACCATAATATGTATAAAGTACAACTGTACTGAGATGTTGTCATCATTCTGACTTGACTCACATTTATTTATGAAATTAATGATACTATTAATACTGTCAAAATTGAAGGCTCTATTGTATCATGTGAATCATCCTTTATAAAAGCATAGTGAAGACAACATGTGTGTTGTATTTGAGAGGACACTAATTTCTGTAATACAGGTCTTTGAACCTAGCTCAGAAATCAAGGTTTATTATACTTTGTAACTTTTTTGTGAATAAAGATTAAAATACAATTTGTGTGCAGGAAGAGGCTCGTTCGAAGATCTCTGAGGTGGCTTCCACCGTGGAGAGAGAACAGAAGATACTGGAGGGAGAGAGGGAGAGGGAGGCGGAGGAGGCGAGGACGTGGAGCAGATATGAGGGAGACACGCGAGGGAGGATCGAGGAGTACGAGCTGAGGGTGCGAGGGTGCGCGGGGGTGCGGGCGCAGCGGGAGTACTGGGAGGACAGGGACGGACTGTGAGTGAGAGAGAGAGAGAGAACACACTAGGGATTTATTTATTTATTTATTTATTGGATTGCCAACAAAGTATACACAAATACAACCATTTAAATTAATACGATTAAATGGCTATGTTCTACCTCAGTTACAAGCAACCACTTCATGCTGAAATAGTAACAGAGTGCATGTAATCACAAAGTTAACATTTTAGTTTAAATGCAGTGCATGAAGAACAAACAACTAGAAAGTAGAAAGTAAAACTAATGATGAATATATACGAAAAATAGAGAAGACGGGCGGCAAAAATATACTATTATTAATATACGTACTAGCTTTCCGTCCACGTGCAGTTTGGTTTTGTCGCGTCACCAAGAGAACCTTTCAAAAGTCTGGGATAAAACTATCCTCTGTTCTTTCTCAAGGTCAACTCTATCTCTGTACCAAATTTCATTAAAATCAGTTCAGTGGTTTAGGCGTGAAAGCGTAACAGACAGACAGAGTTATTTTCGCATTTATAATATTAGTAACCTATATACCAAAGTTAGTCGAAAAAGTAAAATATAGTTATTATATTAATAATAAATTTCAATGTCCAGATGGCGATCAAAACTGGCTGAACTGAAGGAATACATAGAGGAACAGAAGATAGTGATGCAGAGGAAGTTGGAGGAGGGAAGGAGGAGGAGGGGGGAGCTGGTCACCGACGCACTGGGACTGTGGAGGGAAAAGATGGGAGTGTGAGGGAGGAATATAGACTTAGTTGTGTTATTATAAGGTCTATAATTGATTAAAACTGATAGCAAGTACTGTGTTCGTGTATTCAGAGAACTGTAGTGTCTTTTGTACCATAGAATACGTTTTATCATTATAGTTGTTATGTGCATATTAAAGATTCTGAATATTATTGTTGATTTTATTACAACCCTTTTTGAATTTTTGTTTGGGTTCGTGCTAATGAATGATTCATCGGCTTTATTCAGGGATAATTAAAATAGTAACAATAGGTCTGCCCCCAGACCAAATATATTTCTGTAGTCGCGAATTTTAAAGCGCGTTGTGATGATAGCGCGCGTTCAATCAATCATATCTATAATTTGAGGCGACAGGTCACGTGAGTCGTGTAATTTAACAAGAGCGATGAGACCAGGAAGTTAATTAAATTGCTCGAACTGTTTCTGTAAGTTTTATTAAGTAAAGTATAGTGCGTTTGATTTAAGCTGAGCTTTGCATTTGTGTGTGTGCACACGGATAGTGTAGGTGTGATGTCAAATTTTTAAATACCACGTTCCTTTCTAGTTTTGAACCGGTTTATTCTGCTTTTACTTCGCCCCGCACCTTCCGCACTTCACCATTTTTACTGGTAGCAAAATCAAATATTGAAAACGCAATGTCAAGTGACGAAGAATTTGTAGTTTTTTCAAAATTTTTATTAATCAATATTTATTTACCACTAGAAGACCTGGCGAACTTCGTATCGCCCTATAATCAAGAAATATCTATTACGTTTTTCTATTTATATTTTTGGAGTTTACCTGTAAGCCATACATTTCCGTGTTTTGAAGAGCGACAGAATCATTGACATATTAGTTAGTTGTCAAATCTAATGTCAAAAAAACGTTTGTATGGGAAATAGAAAAGGGCTGTTTTTATGGTTTTCCCAGTAATGAATCAATTTTTTCAGCTTTTATACCTTCCCTGAACCTCCACGAACATTTCAAGACTAAGATAAGATAAATCCGTTCAGCTGTTCTCGAGTTTTAGCGAGACTAAGGAACAGCAATCCATTTTTATATACCTACTAGAAGACCTGGCGAACTTCGTATCGCCCTATAATCAAGAAATATCTATTACTTTTTTTATTTATATTTTTGGAGTTTACCTGTAAGCCATATCTCCGTGTTTTGAAGTGTGACAGAATGATTGACATATTAGTTAATTGTCAAATCTAATGTCAAAAAAAACGTTTGTATGGGAAATAGAAAAGGGCTGTTTTTATGGTTTTCCCAGTAATGAATCAATTTTTTTCAGCTTTTATACCTTCCCTGAACCTCCACGAACATTTCAAGACTAAGATAAGATAAATCCGTTCAGTCGTTCTCGAGTTTTAGCGAGACTAAGGAACAGCAATCCATTTTTATATATATAGAAGATATAGAAGATAATATTCATAATATTTCCATCTGGCTTTTTATAAGTTTTGCTTATTTTATAGCGCTTATGTTATGTATCTATTTAATAAAATATAATAAAATTGAATTCTAAAAGTTTTTTGTCTAACTCTACTTTTACTTTCACTCACACAAATGCAAAGCTCAGGTTAAGTCTAACGGACTATACTACAATCGCATTTTAAACAAATCCGACGCGTGCTTTATATATCCGGAAACAGTATAAAACTTTTTTAAACATTGTTTATCTGTAGGTTTGACAAAGCTTGTTTATTGTTAAGTTTTCTATATTCTGAACATCTCTTGAATAGATATTGATTTTTCTATAATCCACTAACTGAAGAATTGTCTAAGAGAAGTCTTCTGTACTTTTCGAAATTTTAATGACTTATTAATTTTATTTTAAAATATTATGAACTAAGTATTTGTGGCGATTTGAAACGACGACTAGGGTTTTGAACAAAATAATTTTGCATTAAGACATCTGGTTACGAGGAGGAGCATTATGAGTTTGCGAGATTGGAGGTGGGATTTTACATAAACTGAACTGATTTGAAGTCCAATATTACACAGAGCGACATCGTATTGTTTTACTGCACTTAGAACCCGACACCGAAACTTAAAGGGCAGGGTCGCCGTGTGAGGACGGGACTTGGTAACTAAAAGTAGATGCTTTAGGTTTGAAGATAAATTTATTACTGCTCTTCAATACAAGGCGTCATCTGCTTATACAGGGTGACTGGTGAATTACTATCAATATTTAAGGAGAATACTCGGTACATGATTCTCATTCGAATTATGTAAAAAAAAATAGGCACTTAATTTTTGACAAAATTTTCGTATAAATAAATAAAGTGTTGACACGTTCCAAGTGTTCCAAGTGTGGACGCGTGCGGCGGCGTGCTGATACAACACCACGCCGCCGCACGCGTATGTGTGAGTGTGTGTGTATACCTAATCTGTAGGGTGTTCACACGATGCGTAATTAATTACATAACTTTTGGTTAACTTTACTTAGAAGTTTTTTAATATTTATGTTATATTAATTTTTATTTTGTCATATATGATCGTCAAATATCACGTCCTCAAGTATCGATAGTAATTCACCAGTCACCCTGTATACTACACTACAAAAGTAAGTTCATTAGTATGACAATTACTGGTTTCTAAAGCTTTTTCTGTGTAATCGTGACGTTCCCCACAGTGATCGTATTTAAGCATTTTGAATTCTTGTAAATAAATGACTTGTAATCTGTGGCGTTCTTTAAATGTAAGGGCAATACGTGTGATATCCCAGGATCGCGGTTACTTACTGATATGCTCAAACTTGGAAACTAATGTCTACATTTAAAAAAAATCTTTTACGCATTTGTTTTTATTTACCGATATCGACGCGTGAATTACATCTCGTAATTGTGTGACAAAAATTAAGAACTGTATTACGTCATTCATTTTGATAAAAAGCTAATACGACTAAAACATTCTCAAAGAAAATGACGTTCAAATAAAAAACCTGCAACGTAGTGAGTTTATTAGTTTGAAAACTACGATGACAGACACACACACACCCTCGGACATCGACGTTACACTTAAAAACCAGCCTTTTTTTATCGAGACAAAAATGACCTATTCCAGAGGTTCCTAAATATTTTTATCCCTTTAATGTTTAGATGGATGCCACTTGCTAAGTTATACTTACATTGTTTTAGTTATTTAGTGACAGCATTAGCTAAATCAACACCCAGACACAGTTTTAAGGTCGGTTGACATCTTGGTAATGGTTTTGTTACAAAAAAGGATGTGAAAATCATTTATGAAATATATCGTATAGTGACAGAACTGAGCGACACAAAACATATTTCTAGATAGTGTGTTTGCTTAATGTTCTTAGATATGTGTGGGAACATATTTTATTCTACGCCAACTGATTCATAATATTCTGTATGTGCTACAATATTAAAGAGATTGTTTCATTTCTGTTATAAGTATCATCTGTTATTTTTTATAGCAACCTCTAATTTAACAAATTCTAACAAATATTCCTCTAAAATAAGAAAAATACAACGTTCTAGGATTACCTAACACTAGATCTTTAATTAGAAAGACGAAACCTCTTAGCATTCGATGGATTCACCATGCGGGTGCCGGGTCATACAATAGAAATTTAAATGTATTGTCATATGAAGCTTAGGAAAAACGAAATAAAAAAAACAAACAAATAAAATTTGCTGTTTTATTGTAATCATCTCTCTATGAAGTTGTCGATGTTCATATCTATATTATCTTCAATAGTCTCGCAGTAGTTCTTCAAGTCGTGCCTGGCCCAGGTCGGGGCGGTCTTGATCCTTGCGGGGTTGCGGGGTGTGGGGGGAGGTATGGCCGGCTTGAAACACATCTGGGAACAGTCGTACTGGTCGAAGATCCGCATTGGGGACCTGGAATTATAGTATAAATAATATATATATATGTATATACAGGGTGACTGGTGAATTACTATCGATACTTGAGGACGTGATATTTGACGATCATATATGACAAAATAAAAATTAATATAACATAAATATTAATAAACTTCTAAGTAAAGTTAACCAAAAGTTATGTAATTAATTATGCATCGTGTGAACACCCTACAGATTAGGTATACACACACACACACACAAACACACGTCGGCGGCGTGGTGTTGTATCAGCACGCCGCCGCACGCGTCCACACTTGGAACACTTGGAACGTATCCACACTTTATTTATTTATACGGAAATTTGGTCAAAAATTAAGTACCTATTTTTTTTACATAATTCGAATGAGAATCATGTACCGAGTATGCTCCTTAAATATTGATAGTAATTCACCAGTCACCCTGTATATAGGGTAGTGGTGGCTTAGAAGTTAAAGGCACGCCTCTCGTGAATGAGGGCGCGGCACTATGGGAAAATTGCGATGTTTCGTTTCAAAACTCCGTATCTCAGTTATTTCAAAAATGATCTGTAATTTTACACACATATACGTGAAAGTATAAGGCTTGATATAAAAAAGTAAAAATTTTGAAAATTATGTTTATTAATATATGTAAAAAATTAAATGAAATAAAAATATATTGAGCCGCAAGTAGGCGCAGTTTTATTTTTTCTCCTAGTGTAAACTAATGTATAAAGATCGTAATACAATAAATATCTCGACAGCGGTAAAGGGTTAGGTCTCGTAAAAAAAAAAGTAATCCGAAAATTTTACCATCTTAAACTATGTTGGTTAGTTGTAATTTATTTAATTATTATATAAAAAATTTATTTAAGAAACTTTCTGAGGAAATTATAAGCATTCCAAAATATATAACACTTATACATTTATATCAAAAAGTTTCGAGTAATGTGGCTTTGAATTGTGGTAATGTACTGGGCCCAAATCACACCATTGAACATGAGTTAGCTTTGATGCCTTTTTATATACATTATGGTTTGCAAAAAATAATTTAAAAAATATAAAAAAGAAAGTTTATAAGACTAAATTAATTAATTAGTTTTAGTCCATAACAACGTCTTTCATGTGGAAGGGTTTGAGACGACATCGTATGGGATTTTTCTATAGTGCACGGGTTCGAAACCAAATCATATGTACTTTATACTATGTACTGTTTAGACACCACTGACAGATGAAGGAAAACTTCATGAGGAAACCTGGACTTATGCAAATTATAAGTTCGAAATCGCCATTTTCCAACTCGTCTTAGCCAAGCGTGGTGATTGATGCTCAAACCTTCTCCATGTGAGAAGAGGCTCAGCAGTGGGCTCTGATGGTCTGATGATGATGTAATGTTTGTTCAGTATGAGTGTAGTGTACTCACAGTGAGTGTAGCTCCTGCGGCCAGCCTCCTCCGTGTAGCAGCGCGGCGGCCGCGGCGCGCACCAGCGGGTGGTAGTGCGAGGTCAGCGCGGGCCCTTCATAGCCGAGCGCCGCGTGTGAGCCGCAGTGCTCCGGAGACGGACTCAGAGGCAAGAAGCTGCCCGAGCCCGCGCCCTCCGAAGAAAACAACGACGACACGTGCTTGTTGTGCTGCGACATACAAGTTGATATGAATTATATAGAATAACTGTGAAACTTACTTATATGGATATTATAATAACATACACCTAACACTACGTGATTGGCACGATGTTAGGATAGCGATACCATTCCATAGTATTCGGTAAAACTGTACTAACTTTGACATGCATGTATTGTGCTAAGTAGCAAACTGAATGACAGTAATCTACCTGCATTACACTTGACATCATATTATTAAACATTACCGAGCGAGTACAACTAATACATAACAGATAGCTTGTGTGGTATCAGGACTGTTCTGGTTCCCACGGCTTGGCCACTCGTTATATGTTGTTTAACCCATACAAGTACGTCGTCGTCCACTATATTGAGTATGTTATATCCAACCTGCATGAGTGTCCACACAGCCGTGAGCGCGGCCAGCGCGGCGTGGTGTTCTAGCTGCGTGGCGCCGGTCATGAGTCTCTTGGCCAGCGCCCGCAACACGCCGCACGACACGCGCCGCACTCGATCACACACGGCGCTAACACACAAGAACACTGAGGCCGACTCCGACCTAGGAGAACCTGGCATAAAAGATTACGTGCGTTATATAGACTCTGGACCAAAAGAGACCATTATGGTTGATAAACAAACGAATACTTAACATTATTTATACTATGATACATTCAGTATTTGTGAACTACAAGTAGACGTTTATGGTTGCTAAGGGAATTCATAAGAAAAATACATTGATTATAGACCAAAGGACAGGATTGTGGTGCTAAACAAACGATTATTACTTAACATTATACTATGTTACATTCGTTGTTGGTGGACTACGAGTAGACTTATATGATCGCTAAGTGAATTCATTGCTATAAGATCGATGGAGTGGTACTTAGAGCGTGATAGAGTATCGACTTTATCAATCGAAATTTTGTCATATATTTTTGCATTTAATAAATGATGAATGATAGAGTAAGATGCAGTCTTAAGGAATAATGTCTATCCAAAATCCACATGACATGTAATTCTAATTACAAGAGTTTAAGGAAGCAATTATAATGGAAATGTGCGAAGATAGCTCTTAAGTTCATTCATTCTAAAGCCTTGGGTGAATGTAAAATAATAATAAAATAAAAATTCCTCATTTTCTTTAACAAGTTTGTACTTAAATATAAAGTTATTGGAGTCTAATTTTAAACATATGAAAAGCCTGTGCCAGGAAACTCCGTTCTTCCATATCACGAATTTATGTGTTGTTTTTTTTGTAGAAGTATTTAATTTAATTAGATTAAGGTGTTGTTGTAGTTAAAAACTTTTTAAACAGTGCTGTGAATACCTGTAATAGGTGTACATATGAAGACCTATATTTTTGTGTAAATGTTGCATATGTGTACTGTTGGTGTTCCTAAGTAAATAAAATAAAATAAAAGCACGAATTAGGTACAAGTATACAAGATATTTAAGGTACACATTAATAAAGTAATATAAATGTCTCACCAGCGTGTACTTCGATCATATCCTGATACAGTTGTTTGTGGAACACGGCCGGGTCTACGTTGATCGCGTCCCCTGCCTTAGCCAGTACAGCGAGGACAGTGCTCACTACAACAAGCCGCGTGGAGCGAGCGACCGACGAAATGACCAGACCAGACAAGATAGATACCAGGTCGGAGTAGTACTCTAGGTTGATGACGTGCGTGAACCTGGAAATGGATGTTATAGAAGGTCAAGATACGCTGGTCTTACTCAAACGAGGTTCACGTGAAATCAGTGCCGGCGTCAGGGAAGGGGGGCGATGGGGCGACGGCCCAGGGCGCCAAATTTGGGGGACGATTAGTGGAGGTAGGATACTTATAAATGAAAAAATAAAATAAATAAATAAAAAATAGGAGCTACATAACTTTCTACGTCCACGTCGTTAGCTCTGGGTCACGCTAAAGAAAAGATGGAAAATGGTAGATGGAATATAGAATTCTTAATACACGTTCAGTGTTCAATTTGGTTCAGAAAAAAAAATAATCGATTTTAATTTCTTCAAGTGGGCGCCAAAATATTTTTGCCCAGGGTGTCAGTCCCTCTAACGCCGGCACTGCGTGAAGTAGGAACAGAAACATATTTAGAAGGTCAAGTTAAGCTGGTCTGGGTCGGATAGTTAAACGTGAATTTCAATACATGCCTAGACTGCTGTGACTATATAAATGTGACCTTTTAGCAATTTTATATAAGATCACGAATATAGAGAATATCAGTCAGGATATTCAATATGTATTGGATAAGCTTAAGTGAATCAAACTCCTAATGATAATCCATCTCACTTGGCGATTCCATTCAGAGCCGCTATGAGTAGACCGGTGGAGGGGGAACTCTTCAGTAACCGGAAGTATATATGGAACACAGTCTTCGTCACTTCCGTCAGCTGTTTCCTCCTGGCCGTCTCGCTCTCCTTGGCTTCTGTTTCTAGAAGTTCTCGTTCCACCTCTTTCAACTTCTTAGCTCTCTGTTAACAAAACATATGTTAATATTGTCTCCAAGGTAATGTAATGCTAGAAGACCCGGCGAATTTCGTATCGCCCTATCATCAAGAAATATCTGTTACATTTTTTTATTTATATTTTTGGAGTTTACCTATTAAAGCCTAGATATCCGTGTTTTGAAGTGCGACAGAATGATTGACATATTAATTAGTTGTCAAATCTAATGTCAAAAAAAAAAGTATGTATCAACAACTACTAATAAATTAAAAATTAATTAAAAAACATTGTCCAGCGGACAAAATAGTGAATCTAAACAATTCCCAGATCCAATTGAACACACACAAAAAATTTCATCAATATCGGTCCAGTCGTTTGAGAGAAGTTCAGTGACATACACACTCACAGAAGAATTATATATATAAAGATTTAGCTAAAAGAAAAACATGACACAAAATTTAGATGAAACTAATATTTGTGGAATACTACAAGATATCGTTTGTCTCGTCTGTCCGTGATCACGTTTGCTGCAAAGTAATCGAAACCGGAGTATGTAGTTTTTAAAAATTATAAAACAAGGAGTAATAATCAGAAAATGTGAGTTTCATTTAAATACTCGCGAAAGTCTTATAAATGCTACAATTATAACCTAAATCTTAGAAGTCTTTAACTAGGAAGTTCAACTCTATTATATATATGTACATATACATATACTACTTTTACCCGCGACTTATTTGGGGTTAGTTTCAGAATTAGAAATGTATATCTGACCGAGTGAACTCTTTTCCTCCTTGAAGATACTATATAAGAAGATTATGGATTTGTTTTTTTTTTATCGAATGTAGTTTCCTAACATTAACACGGCTTTCTTTTAAATATAAATAAGATATACCGATATATATATGTAATAAAATATATGTATAGAAAATAAAAGAAAATTGTGTTAGTTACAGTTTATAAATCAAGAACGACTGTACGGATATGGTTTAAAATTAGTGGAGAGATAGATTAGAAGTTAGAACCAGGAGATGGACATAGGATAATTCTGTTCGATTGAAAAATATATAATAATAAATTCCAATATCTGGTTGGAATAGACTTCGCCCGTTCAGCTACACATCCTACTAATATTATCCAAAGTTTGTGAGTGTGTGTGTATGTTTGTTACTTCTTCACGCTCAAACGGCTGAACAGATTTTGATAAAATTTTGTATACAGAAAGGTGACGTCCAGGAATAATACATAGGCTACTTTACATCCCGGAAATCCCTGAAACACCGCGGGGCGCAGCTGTATAAGACTAATTCCGAAATTAACGGACAAAGTCGCTGGCAAACACTAGTATGTTATATATCAATCAGTGATTTACCTTCTTCTCCTTCTTGGACAGGTTGATGATCCTCTTCTTCTTCTTCTGTTCTAACTTCTTCTTCATCTTCAACTCGTGTTCTTCATCAAGCTCTACGTCTTGTATGTTCAGTTGTAACAGACAATCGAGGGCCGCGGGGTTGAGTTTTGAGCCGCGACGCTTAGCGAGCTGATTAATTAGACGGACTATCTGGAAATATTATAATAAATACTATTATAACTGACTAAAGCTGGGAGATTGCCAGGAAGAAGAAATACTATTATATACAATTTTAATAATAGGTTTTGTTCTTGATTTCTTTTATTTGGATTTCGCAATGAAGAAAAATGTATAAAGTTTGTGAAAAACAAAATATTTGTTGACCAACTATAAGCGACATCTATAGTCTATGTCACATGACTACATATAGAATAGAACGGTTATACCGTGATACTGTACGAACATTCAATTCTAGGATCAATAATATGCTATTTAATATTCCAATGTAAAGTTTCATCAATTTACGTTTCGTAGTTTTTGCGTGTAAAAGTAACAAACTTTCATACTTCTTAAGACACTTATTTACTTATATATTAGTAGAATTTATTATAAAAGAAACCTCCAGTATTCAATGTTATGTATAACTCTACTTTATATTTGCGTGTTAATTATATTTTGAAATAATAAGCATGAGTATCACATAAATCCTTTTGAACAAAATGTTTCGTTTTAAAATAAAGCAAAAAAATCTAGAGTACATACAATGCCCGGCATAATATGTATTATATGTATATCAATATCTAATTTCACTTACAAAAATCTATTCAAATATCTCAATTCATTCAAATCAGCTTAAATTCTTATAAATATAAAATAATCAATTGTGTTATGTAATTAAATTAAATAATGAATTTACAGACACTCCAATTACAATATTGTTGACGAACATAAAATAACTCATTTCCTGCTTATGATTTGTCCTACAATAAGCAATTCGGCACTATAATTGCTGCAAACTTAAGAGACTTGGATTAAGATCCACTTTGAAACTTTGTAAGACAATATATTGTGTTAAATTACTAAATCAGTACTTAAAATGATCAAATGATAATTTTCTTAAGAAATTCATAGTTAATAATATAATTTTAATATTAAAATTGTTATAAATCTGTTTCTTAGTTTTTAACTTTATTTAAACCTAGCTTTTATTTTAGTTTTATACTGTTAAGTCTATATTTTAATAGCATCTTGTAATAGCACACAAACAAATGCCAACAATGTTGTATACACCTGTAAAGGCAAATCATACTGGATTATATTTAGTGCATTATAATATTGTGTTAGTTATTATGATAAGTCGATGGTGTATCTTAATAAATATATAAATAAGAGACAAAACCTCTTAGCATTCAAAGTATTCACCGTGCGAGTGTCGGATCCATTGTTGTAGTGAGAGGAGCTTCAACAGTGACTGGGACTTGTAACCCAGGTGTAGGTTTAAGGGGACCCTATCTAACGCGTTAAACGATCACCTCCACTGTCCAAGTTCCTCTCTCTACCAAATTTGAAAAGAACCTACTAGGGCTGTCTACAAAGTATGTTCTAAGAATGTATTAGTGTTAGTTCTGGACAGGCCCAAGTCTTTTAGTAGGTTAATATCTTACAGCCAATGTAATTTCTCCTTTTCTATCTTCCTTGAACACAGCGGTGCAGGCCTCGGTCACAGTGTTCCTTGCCTCCGGAGTAGTGTCCAGGAACGGGATCACACTCTGAGCTATGTTGGTTGCGTAGTTGAAGTTAGGTCTTGCCACTAACAAGGAACACATACACTTGATGGACAGCAGGGCCAAGCTTATACGAGGGTCATCGGCTTTACTGGAAAGAAATAATGAGATAGTTGGAAGTAGTATATAATCAAGGTAGTACCAAGTACTCTCATATAAATAAAAAAAAATATATGTAGCCAAAACTATTCACAACATATGTATAAGGCAGACCCTGGCTTATAGCTGGGAAATTGCCAGGTAGAAGAAGAAGTAATCAAGTACTCTCATTTTGGATATCTGATCATCATACAAGGAATTAGACCCTATTTTTCTCATTTCTTTAATTATATATCAAGTATTTCAAAATCTAAAGATATTTACTTCTTCTGGGCAATTTCCCGGCTATAGCCGGGGCCTACCTTACATGTTGTGAATAGTTTTGGCTATTTGTTTTTACGACCGGCCGCCTGCCTGACATCAACCCTCTTTTGGGAATCAACATTAATCAGTGATGTCTAAATAGTCTTACATATTTTATATGTATTAAAATATGTAGGTTTAATAATTTGATATCGATTTGTTTGTTAATATCAATATATAGTAAATTTCAATGGATTTACATGGAAATTTCTGGATAATACAGATGTATATTTGACATTCATCATATTTGTAATTTATTATGAAGTTAAATTTCAATAAATCATTTAAAATAATTTATATATATAAATGCCATACCGTCTATCCCCTTTCTTGGGTCTCAGTACACCGGCCGCCTTCTCCAATCTTTGAAGATACCTCTTGTAGAACTCCAACAATTCCTTTTCATATTTATATAGCGCCAAAGTGTCTTTCTTTACTGAAATATTACATATTACATCAATATTAATACACCCATTACATAGCTCACTTTGCTATACTTTCCTTTTTAGAATCATACTTAATAATAAGTGATGTTGCAGAAAAATAAAAATTATACTACAGTATAGAAAATATACTCCATGCTTAATACATCATAGAATCATATCTTTATTATGACTATACCATAAATGGACCATAATGAGTGGTTAAAAAGAATAAGCGCTATATTAAGAATTGTATAGATCAAATTTCATGTTTTCGAGTAATCGAGTAACAATTATTCATACAAACATTCACATTGACCATAACAACAAGTACTAGAAGAACTAGTATCAATGTGAACTTTACTGTTGAAAATAACTAAATTTTATTACTTACATTCTTACATTGTACATGAAGCGCCATATATTTTAGCGCGAAAAGACTCGCAATACTTTTTAATCTGTGTGTGTGTAGTCGTTCCTTGACTCTCTCACTATTGTTACAAGAATGTGTCTCGCAATAAAATATTAATAACTAGCTTTCCGCCCGCAGCTTCTCCCGCGTGCAGTTAATTTGTATCGCGTTTCCAATACAACCTTTCAAAAGTCTGTGATAAAAACTATCCCTACATTCTTTCTCAAGGTCAACTCTATGTACCAAATTTCATTAAAATCAGTGCAATAGTTTAGGCGTGAAAGCGTAACAAACAGACAAATAGACAGAGTTCCTTTCGCATTTATAATATTAGTAGGTATTCAAGAAAAAGTGATTAATACATACATTTAACATCACTATAGTCCTGATGTCGTAGCTTGTACTCGGGCAAGATGTCTTTGAATACTTCGGCCGCTGACAGCGAGGCTAGCTTACGAACTGACACCAGGTTCGGAGTACCGTCTTTAAGATGCTCATCCATTAGATATAAGATTGGATATAGATTCTTCAGCTGAAAATGGATAACATTTGATGGAGATATTACAATACTTGATAGGCAGACCCTGGCTAAAGCTGGGAAATTGCCAAGAAGAAGAAGGTTACATTACTTGATTGTTTATATACTTTATATGCTTTATCAATAAAAGATTAGAATAGGGCGTTGTCCAAAAACAATGATAATCGGATATTTGTAGAGAAAGGATATTTTTTTGGAGCTTTACCATATACCAACTATTTCAGTATAAAAAATGATATAAATACAGTACAGTCACCAAGAGGTACGTCCATTTTTATGATAATAGTTCCAGAGTAAACACCAAAAACAACATAAATAAGAAAAAAACTGAATCCAGCATTTTAATTCAGAAGCCAAATAGTAGTAAATAAATTGAAATCGAGCCGAATCTTTAAATATTCTCGTAGTAGTGGTCGGCAAGTAGGGTTAGCGTCATTATTTTTGCGATCCTGAGAGATTTTTAACTGTGGAATACATGAAAAAAGTTCCTACAATGATGGGCTCTTGGTACGCAAAGTTTTTAAGGAAATTTCGGTAGACCGTTAAAGAAACAAGACCAAATAAAACCTAAGTTGAAGCGTTTTACTGAGACAATGGACCAGCTCACGAAAACTGCATATTATATAAATGCTAATCAATAAACGTGATTTGAACTACTCCAAGCCTCCAGTCACTTTCCTCGGATCATAAAAGATCTTCAAGTCACAAAAATTGCGATAGCAAGGTGATGTCTACTGTACATATATTTTAAATTCGACAAAACAAACCAAATTTCCAAACAAATGGGTCTAGAAGAAAGTTGTACTACATTTATTTATTTGCTAGGACAGTATGTTGAGGAATAATAATCGTTTATTACCTAAAATATCACCATTTCATAATGACTATCATTATTTTTGGAATTCGATCCAGTAATCTAAAATTAAGTACTATTGCCAATCGAACCAAGATTTGAGTTCGTACATTTAACATTTTCTAATTAAATTTAATAAAAACTTTAACCAATGTTTTCTTTAACATCTAAACCTAATAGAAATATGTCAATTACTATAATTTTACCATACCTTTTTTTCAGGACTTTCCAACAGTGAGGAGCACAGTGCTCCAATCCTTAACTTCTCATGTCTCAGTCGGTCTCGTCTGGCTGCTAATAGTTCAACTGTAGTAATTTCTTTCTCATTATCTTCTGATTTTTCCATAGTTTCATCATCTGAATCATGTTCTGAGCCTGATTCATCAGCTTCTTTATCTGATTCATCAATACCCGCTTGATCTTGATTTTCCTCTGCAGACTCGGTATCTGAGTCTAAAATAAGTAAGAACATGATTATTGCCTGTTGACATATAATTAATATCACATGAGTAGAGTATATGTTATAACATGAAACTTCTCATCATTCCATGTATTCAGTGTGGGTGTCGGGTCCATCGTTGTAGTGAGAGGAGCTTCAACAGTGACTGGGACTTGCGACCCAGGTGTAGGTTTAAGGGGCCTATCTAACGCGCGTTAAACGCTCACCTCTACCGTCCAAGCTCCTCTCTCTACCTAACCAAATTTCAAACAAAACTACTAGAATTGCTTTTGAACTATTATATCTAAGAACTATAGTATCTTTTATTGTCTGAAATAAAACCAGACCGAGTTACTATAAATGTTATCCACAAATGGAAGCTAAAATCTATTTATCTGTTCCATATATAATATATATAGCCAGTACAAACTGACTGATGGAGAAATAAATATTTTCTTTTTTTATATACCATTCATAGAGGCATTTTGGGAAAAAGCTGTTAAGTTAGCATTACAAGCAGATACTCTAATTTTAGTTACTTTCATAGATTTAATGAGTTGGAAGGTAGTTTTATCTTTTATTTATTTATTAAGATACACCATCGACTTATATAATAACTAATGCAATATTAAATGCACTAAATATTCAATCCAGTATGATTTGCCTTTACAGGTGTATACAACATTGTTTTTTTTACTAAAATACAGACTAAACGGTACAAAATTAAGATAAAACAAAACAAAATAAAAACTAGGTAAAAACAAAGTTAAAAACTAAGAAAAAAAACTGATAACAATATTAATCCACTTAATCTAGGTAGGGTAGAGAAGTAGAGTGCTATAAATAATTTTCAACCTTTACTACAATCGTTCTTCGTCATAAATAGCATCTAAACACTTCCTAACAAATTTGTGCCAACTTGAGGATGAAAAATGTTGATATCACCCTTAGACAAAAATTCGTTAGAGTTAGAGATTTTGATAAATATTTACCGTCACATTCTTCAGTTCTCTCCACAAGCCCGTCTTTCGTTTTAATCGGTAGCAGTGATCTCGTCTTCTTTACCGGCTGCTGTGCTAGATCCTTTTCATATTTTTCTTCCACTTCACTATCAGAATCGTCGGATGAACCAATGTTATCGTCCATATTAGTTTCAATTCTTGGCTTCTTCACTTTGGGTAAACGTTCCTTATCTTTCTTGCGTTTGGATCCTCTCCTGATGGCAAATTAAGTTAGGTATAGTATTACTATTAGTAATTATAGAATTTTAATATATTGTTTCTCATTACAAACGAAAGTTGAGCTAACACTGAAATTAATATCAAATAACATGAGAATTTCATTGACAGAAGCAGGATTTAAACCGTCAAACTCCAATATTTTTGTAGTCTAGTTACTTGGCTGTTTAACTTATTGAGATCCAAGTATTTGCAAGTTTTATTAATTTCAATGAAACCATGATCACAGACAGAGATGTGAATAGTTGCACAGTTGCTGAAAAGTAGCCGAAACGTCGGGAGTATGTAGTTTTTTACAACAATAGAGTTGCATAGTATAATCCGAAAAATATTAGTTTCATTTAAATGACTTACTTATTGTCTTCTTTCTCTGGTATGTTTGACAGAAGGTTGGGTTGCTTGGCCAGTCTGTTCGCTATGTACTGCTGTTCCTCCTCATCCAACATGTCTGCCCACTCGTTACTCGAGGATTCACTATCACTGCTGTATTCTGGTGTTTCCTTTACCGGCTGTTTCTGTTTCTGCACCTTCGTCCTATGCCGCTGAAGCTTTAGTTTACCCTGTTTCTTCATTTTATTCGTTGTGTGGTTGTTTCTTTTAATTTTACTTATCTTTGGTTTGCCTTTCTTCTGTTGAATAAAATTGTTATAGGTTAGAATTGTTCATAATAACGAATAAAGGAATGAAAGCTCACAATATATATTATTTATTTATTACTCACCGCCATTTTTAGTTTTTATGTGATAACGTATAGTACACTTAATGAGTTTGGCTCGAGTTTTATTTAAAATATCCAACGTGTGTTCGCAATTCGCATGCCCTGCGACTACAATGTTATGACTTTTTGTTTGACTTTGACAGTTGGTTATTTAAATGTCATGTTAAACTGCTGTCTTATCAGGTTCCGTTTTCTTAACATTCTTAAATTGTTAATTATATGTAAAAAAATACAATATTTAAAAATGTTTGCAGATAGTCTCAAAAATATAAAACATATAATTGTAGTTAAAGAAAATATATATGAATAAATATTGATGTATTTGAAAGAGAATAATAGATCAACATAATTAATTGTAGTGAATTCCTCGTAATTTTAAAGCGTAGAACGAGAAAAACTAGTTTTGTTGTGACTGGATGCCGTATTTGAACGCTTTGAAACTTTCTAAACGTCAAGTCTTCGAAAGTTTCTTTAACTTTATAAATTCTTGTTTTTCTAGTTTTCATGACGTAAAAAAAACTGTTAAGCACAAGCCATTTAAATTTAAGGCCTTATATAGTAGGAGGATTTCTTGAAATAACTGTGATGTAGGAATTAGTCTAGTTTAAAAAGTGGTTTAGGATGGTTCCTCAGCAGCAGAGACGGAGGCGGAGGAGAGCGGCTTTATCTAGGACAGCAGAACGTCGTGTGGTCGTAGTGAGAGGAGCTGGAGGCTTCGGATTTACGATAGCAGGGCAGAGACCTTGCGTTGTATCCGCCGTAGCGGCTGGCGGACCCGCGGAAAGGGCTGGTTTGCGCGCAGGCGACGCATTATTAGCCGTGGACGGGGCGAGTGTGGCTCGAGCACCTCACGCATCAGTCGCCCGTCTCGTCGCATCAGCTTCAGGGCCGATAGCTTTAAGTGTAGCGCCGCGAGAGTCCGCGCCGACTGATACTGAAGACACCGAGCCTGAAGAACGAGCTAGAACGAGGCGGAGATACCCACCGCCGCGACGCAGGCCACAACCAGCACTACTGCATCATCCAGGTATGTTATATTCACAGCATAATTTGTTTAAATCTTCAATTTTATATTTACATTATAGCAGTCATGTAATTAATATTATACTCTTATATATTTTACATATTTGTTACTGAAAACTTAGTATTTAGTAATATATTTTGTAGGAAGAACAGTCATATACAGTATATTTCTGAAAGTTTTTAAACATAGCTTTAAATAATTGTCATACTTCTTACCAGGATGTAGAATTCCTAAATATAAACTTGAACTTGGGAGTACAAGAATTTAACTTGATTTATAGAAAAAGCCCTGTATAAATATTTTAAAATTTTGCCAAATATTATATGAATTGTTTGAGGCTGAGACAGAATTGAAAAATAATCTGCTGTAACAAAATTTTATGTTCAAAGTTTCTGGGGCATTTTCATTTCTACATAGATCACACCTTCCGCTATATTGAGATAAAGTGTTAATATAAAAGCAAAACCTTTGGTTTCAAAGAACTTTGGAGAATTAGGACAGTGAGATCATATTTCACTTGAGAATACTTGTTACTTTACAAAGCAGAAATTTAAATGAAACTCATATTTTTGGATTACTAGGCCTTATCACACCTTTGCCCGTGATCAAGGTTGCTGCAATGTAACCAAAGCATGGGGGGTATGTAGTTTTTAAAATAATAATTAATACATAATGATGTGAAAATATTAGTTTCATTTAAAGTAGTAATTTTCTTGTTTAGTTCAGTTCATCTCTGGTTCAAAGGTTCACTATTTCCAACTATAATCCCTTACTTACAGTTTTAGCTATTTCCTTTTAAAGGCATTACATTTGTATCTAAAGAAGTTGACATTTAAGTTTTATTACTATAGTTTGAAACACTGTGTGAATTGTGTATTTTTTTCTAAGGAACATATTTTGTTCAATTTCCTATAAGAATTGTCATCTTTAGCCCAAAGTTTTGAAGCCATATGTATTTATTACTTCCTAAACAGCTAATTTAAATTGTAAGTCCAAAACTATGTAGTCTTGACTCATGAACCAGATGTAATTATGAGATAAAGTTGGTCTTTTTGTATAGAGGCTAGCTTCATCACAGTTTGAAATTTTCATTAATACGTAACTATTATAATTGAATTGCTATATGTAAAGTAGTGAGAGTATGTTATCAGCAACAATAGGCCAAGTCTCTTGTACAATTTTCTGAATAACATACATTTTAGACAGCTAAGGTCAGTTATAATTTCCTTAGTTATTATGATGTATGTTGCCAAGTGATCAACTATGTATATACATTTATAGTTTTAAGTAAACATGTACCTAATCTTTGTGAGTTTCCACTCAGTTTCATAACTCACAGAACTTTAGTATTTTAATTTGTGATGACAGTATAATTTGATGAATCACCAAATTTTAAATACAGAATATGTCAATTGAAAAAGAATGGAAATTTAATGGTTCCTAATAATCTGTTTAAAAGTCATAAGCCATATAAATATGAATTATCACAAACTACTAGATACTTCTGATACTTTTAACTGTTATTGTTAATATGAGATGAAATTTTTGGTGTTTTATAAGTATGCTTTTCATTCCAGGTTGTCACGCCGCCCCAAGTACGTCGGGAGTGAACGAAATCCTGCAGAATTTGAGTCGAGCACAGCTCACTCCAAACTATATCGCTAGACTGGAGTGTCGCGCGGTCGTAGGGTATCTAGGGACCATCGAGACACCCCAGGCATCAGCCACCGCTGCACCCGGCAATGTAAGGAACGCAGTCCGCAAGTTACGCCAAGAGAGACGGACGGCTGCACCTGTGTTGCTCTCCGTACTCCCCAACGCTTTACTCCTACGACGGCCGAATACGCAGATCCTAGCACAATATCAGCGGGAGAGGATAGTGTACGCTGGATGTGGTTCAGACGCTGACAGAAGGTTCTTCGGTTTGGTCACAGCGGCTGAAGTTACCGATTTAGAGGCGGAGGCATCTCACAGCTGTCATGTATTCGCAGTAGATCCGAGGACGGCTGAACACGAAGCTCATCTGGCTAGAGCGAGGGAGTTCCAGATAGTGTGTACGAGGGATCCTGTCGCTGAAAGATGCTTAGAGTTCCCGCCGTCAGCTGAGTACGTCGTTGGCGTCATAAGAGGAATGTACTCCCTACCGCCCGATGATTGCTCCAGCCCAACAATACAGCAGATATCTAAATTAGCCGTGAAGAGTGACAGTCCGGCTTTAGGGAACTTTTCGCGATGCAATCGACCAGTTTTTAGGATACCTCGCGATCGAAGACCGAGACAGGAAGAAGCGAGGGTCGAGGGGCCAGACTTTGTGGCTAACTCGCCACAACCGAGCAACCATAGTGAAGTGACCACGACCACATCAAGCAATAGTGATTCCGGTATAGGCTTCCACAACGACTGTAGAAATATATCTGATAGGATACTAGTCGTAGATTTCGCTGGACAACAGCCGCCTCCGAACAGATTCCGCCAAGAAATACCAAGGCGGCCGATAGGATTGGTCGGATGCAGCTTTGAAACCGATGGCTCGTTCTTGTCTAACACGACCCCGGTAGTCGACGGGTTCGGCGGTCAGGGGAGACCTTTGAATTTGGACGATGTTATCATCAACGCGAATGATCTCACACGACACGTGAGCCCAAGGAATGATGAAGATACATACAACTATAACAATATATACGGGAACGTGCCTATCAGCTCGAGGAACATGAACGGAGCGCTGTACGACCAAGTGTACACTGAGAATGAGGGACATTATGATTTCGTGCCATCACAATTAGACGTAGACGAAGTTGATAGAGTGGCGGAGACGTTCAATTCAGTGGAAATATATGAAGAAAGGCAACGGGATTACCAGTCTAACGAATCTGTGGAAAATGTGACCGTTATATCAGGGATGAGTAAAGCAAGTGCGGATACTGTGTCCATGTATTCATCACGAAGCCACGAAGAGGCTCGACCGACTAGAAGAAGACACTTGCAGGCGTCTCTAGATGATATGCTAGTCTGTGGATTGAGAGACCCTCCCGATGATAAAGATGAAGGGAAGTTCCTACATCCAGCCAGTGTTAAATGCAAGGTTGGTTATGAATATGAACGACAAACATTTATATAATACCAGCTTTCCGCCCGCAGCTTCGCCCGCGTGGAGTTCGGTTATATCGCGTTTCCAAGAGAACCTTTCAAAAGTCTGGGATAAAAACTATCCTACGTTCTTTCTCAAGGTCTCTGTACCAAATTTCATAAAAATCAGTTCAGTGGTTTAGGCGTGACGGCGTAACAGACAGACAGACAGAGTTACTTTCGCATTTATAATATTAGTAGGGATAGGGATAAACCCATTAATCTTTTAAATATATGAATTTAAGTTTTAATATTTATTATATCTATGCACCTTCTTTTTTGTGGTTGTAAACAAATGTTATTGAGTTAGATGAAATGTTATTTGAAATAATAAATATTGAAAATACATTATGAGAATAATGTCGCAAAAAATAGTACATTATCCTGTCTCCATTAAGAAAATAAGCTAGCAAAGCCGGGGTATAAACATACTAACTACGCCCCGCGGTGTTACCCGAAGAAGTAACAAACATACACACACTCACAAACTTTCGCAATTATAATATTTGTAGGATAATATTTTTTTAAGTGTGAGCTATAATATTAACTATATTTACTATCCATCATCAGGTCCGTAAATCGAAGCCATTGAATTTGATATCAAAGACAAAGAACATGCTCAGCGGTAGGAGTGACAAGGACAAGAGAGAGAAGGATGCTGGTGAGGGAGAGAGACGGAGAGCGATCAGCGCCAGCGAGGGGGACGTGTCCGGCGCGGGAGGTGGAGGGGGGGACGGGCTGGCCGGCGCGACCAGCGAGCCTGACCTCCGGGGACAGGTGAGTTATATGTATAGTAAGGTCATAGTAAACTGGTCGGAATATACCAACAGAAAATATATAAACATTTAGGCAGAGAACAAAGCCCATATATGATATAAAAATTTCTTATGTATTATGTGTTTTTAATACAAATACAATGTATGTAGATACAATAAAGCCCATACAGCCATGTCATATGTATTATGTGTCCTTAAACATAAACAATGTACATATGTAGATACAGTAAGTTTTGATAATTCTATAGTTGTTCAGTTTATATAATAATTAGAGAGGGTAGGGTGGCGTTACATTAAAACAATAAAATATTATTAACTTAATTCGATATTATATAATATTCAATATATTATTTTTATCAAATAAGTAACTTAATTCTATATGTATGGATGTATTTAATATATTATTTATCCAAAAGTTCGCTAGCCGGTGACCGCGGCTGGTTATTTTCAACGTGAGTTATGTGTGTACAAATAGACGGACATTCATTATGTTTTTATTATCTACGTTTAATGGATGACGAACACGCGGAACACGATCTCACTGGAGAATAATTAAAGAAAGGTTGGAGAAGGTTAAAATATTTAAAATATTGATAAAATTTTAATAAATGAATATAATTATATTACATTAAAAGTTATATGCATAATATAGATTATAGAATAAATCTACTATAAGTCTGAAACTGGTAAATTCTAATAATTTTGTAATTTCCTTAAAAAAAATCTAATAATAAGACTCTTCTAGAACGTTTTGAAAGAAATACAGAAAATTGTTGATTAAATTCATTTTGTATATGTAATCGTCTTTGAAGTTCTTTTGATTTGAGTGCCTTGCGTTTTAAAATGAGCACCATCTAGTGAGAGGTATGCAAAATTATTAAATGAATTATTAACTAACAAAATTATGACTGATAATATAATTGAAACTTTCATAAAATACGTTGACGACTCAATTTTGCTTTGGTTGTACTCAATTATTTTTATAATAAATAGTCCATAGAGAATTTTGTTCTTACTATATAACTTAATTAATTGATAAATAATAGTCATATGTAAGCCGTTAGGATTTTTTATACACACATATGTGTGTATTTCTGTGTGTATGTGTGCGTGTGTTTTTATATCTGTGTTCATAGTTCTCATTATTCAGTCATAGACAGAAGTAAACTGTTTCATACATTTTCTTTGTTGTTATACATTTTACTTCTTATATAAGTTTATTCAAGATATATAGTATTAAAAATTAGCACATTCAATGCATGAACTCATACATTCATTTAGCATTGCACTGACAAAAGTATGCTTCATAAAATGTTATGGATTTTGGAAATGAATACATGAGATTTGATATGTCTTAACTATATTAATGCTGATAATATAATTGAAATGACTTCATAAATAAATTTATAACATTTTTCCTTTAATTAGACCCTAAATTATTGCGAAATTGCCAAAAATGGTTATTAGTCTTGACACATATAAGGATAAATTTGATAATTAATATATTTTGAAATTTAAATATAACTTCGGGCTGAGTTATAAATATATATATGACTAATTTTTTATATATTATAATTTAATTCTTTAATATATTTGTTACTTGAATACTAAATTTATCATAGCAATTATAACTATATAAATACATACTTACATAGTTTTAGATATGTAAAAAGATTATTAAGTCTTTCAAATCTGTTTTTTATATGATAAGCTGGCCAAATATAAATATATCGGTTCGGGAAATAATCTGTATCTGATCTAAACTGGTATAACTTGGTCAATTCTTATCAGTTATCAGTTCCAAATATAGATGAAGGTTGTACCCGGTACTTATTGGCTTCAGAATTTGTCAATAACACAGCCTGTTGATGGCGTTGTATATAATATGAGGCATTATGTGTTATGAAAAGGCAGTTGTGGCTTAGTGGTTAAAGGCTTCACGTGCATGAGGACGCGGGTTCGAAACCTGCCAAGTATATGACTTTTCCGAGTCATATGTACTTTCTAAGAGTTTTTAGACACCACTGACAGATGAAGGAAAACATCGTGATTAAACTTGGAGTTATAATTTCATAATTATATGTTTGAAATTACCGACCCGTCTTGAATAAGCAAAGTGATTAATGCTCAAACCTTCTCCATGTGAGAAGAGGCCTTTGCTCAGCAGTGGGCTCTGATAGGCTGATGATGATGATGTAATAAAATAGTATTATTACTATAATCGAGTAAGTAAATGTATAACGGAATAATAATAAAAAAAATATGATTGTGTATTTGTTGACAGATCTTTCGTGTAGAGATGTTTGTATTGATGAAGGGAAAATATGTTGATGGGAGAATTTTATATAATAAGTTGTATTTTTATACTGTTATACTATAGTAGTTTCAGCATTGATTACTTTAAGTTTGCATCACAATAAATTACATACAGAAGTACTATATGAGAAGATTTATGTATGAGAAACTGTTAACGTAACGTATGTTGTGTGACGTACAAACTGGTAGTAAGCGTGGTACTTATTATAACGTTTTAACACAAAAATATATTATAAAAATCAACATTCTATTCTACCAGTAGTATGCTCTAAAATATCAATAAAATACTCATGTTCTAGAAGATTTAGAATTATTAAAAATTCAATAATATAATGTAAAAGTAAGGTGTTGACGAATCGTGACCCGCTTCATATAAAACAGTTGTCATTCCTTTGTCATTTAAATTAGAAATGTACGTCGTGACTGGCTAGAACAAAGTTAGCCTTTGTTATATAATATTACTAGACATAAAGTTAAACAATTATTCATACAGAAGAAATTTATATTTATTTCAAAAACAGTTTGTGAAAAAGAATACTTTTTTATTTATTTTGGTTAAAAAAACGAATATGAAAATTACATCTGACAATATCGAACATACGAGCGTGAACATAAACGATCGTTTTAAAAAACGCTCAAAATGCGATGTTAAATTTTTGAAGTAGGTTTTGTGTAAGTTTTGTAACAGTAATAATATTGTTGTTTATAAAACGAGTATACATTTGTTCATCCAATTATATTGTACTGCGTCTTTAAGATCGTGAGCTTATTGTTATTTTACTTGTATATAAATAGAACATGTGACATACGATTATATACAGGGTGACTGGTGAATTACTATCGATATTTGAGGACGTGATATTTGACGATCATATATGACAAAATAAAAATTAATATAACATAAATATTAATAAACTTCTAAGTAAAGTTAACCAAAAGTTATGTAATTAATAACGCATCGTATGAACACCCTACGGATTAGGTATACACACACACTCACACATACGCGCGCGGAGGCGTGTTGTTGTATCAGAACGCCGCCGCAAGCGTCCACACTTGGAACGTGTACAAACTTTATTTATTTATACGGAAATTTTGTCAAAAATTAAGTACCTATTTTTTTTACATAATTCGAATGAGAATCATGTACCGAGTATTCTCCTTAAATATTGATAGTAATTCACCAGTCACCCTGTATATCGATAAAAATATTATCTTTCGTAAAACTTTGTTTTTAGTATATGGTGGGTTTTTAATAAAACCATTCCTTTTGTTTAGTAATTAGCAAAAAAAAACTTTGATGTACACAGAGCGGAGCTCGAAGAAGAAAGCACAGATATGAGATAACGTAAAACTTGACGTAGACTCAAAAAGGCGCGAAATTTAAACGTTTTAATTTTAGTACATTTTGGTGAGGGTATATCCATTTTTGGTCACCCTCAGGTCATTGACCTCACGTATTGTTATATCTGTTACTGTTAAGTGTTTATTAGTTTGATGCGTGTGTGTGTGTGTTTGTGTGAACCTTTTATCACATGTCTATCTGATCACAAACAGTAAGTGTAAATAGTGTGGAGTTGAAAACATATTTGTCGCCTTGTTCCTAGACGTACTATTGAATCGACTATTGATGTGTGAAAGTTTATTCATAATGTGTGCAGCCACTGTTTTACTACTACTACTACACTATTTTTCTGGTTACACTCGCAAAATTATAATAATAAAATTAAACAAAAAATGTCTCTTCAGTAACTTTAACTTTTCAATAATTGAGTAAAACCATATTGAATATTTAATAATTTTCATATTAAGATTTCTGTTATTTAATTATCCAAAAAAAAGCCTTTTCCAAACGCAAAGTATTGCTATCCCTTTAATAAAGTAATTACTTTATTTTATTACAATTTCGTCATCATCATCAGCCTATCAGAGCTCACTGCTGAAAGGCCTCTTCTCACATGGATATCCATAAAAAAAAAATAGCCTTTTCCAAACGCAAAGTATTGCTTTCCCTTTAATAAAGAAATTATTTTACTACAATTTCGTCATCATCATCATCCTATCAGAGCTCACTGCTGAAAGGCCTCTTCTCACATGGAGAAGGTTTACTATCTTATATTTAAACATGTAAAGAAAATTTATAATAATAGTATTGTGAAGTCTTCAATAATTTTCTATACAAGTTTTTTCAAATACTGTACCCACTGACAGATTTAACAAAAGTAACGACGTTAGGAGTGATTTAATCAGTATGCTTACCACAAGTTTGAATTATCACACTTCATACGAGGCGTCTTTAAGTCTGTGGTGGCCTAGTTGTTAAAAGACCCGCCTCTCATGCCCAGGGCGCCGGTTCGATCCTCGCAAGTACCAATATGATTTTTCCGAGACATAATATGTACTTTCTGAGAGTATTTAGAAATCACTGATTAATGCATTCCCAAAGAGGGTTGATGTCAGGCAGGCGGCCGGTCGTAAAAACAATTTGCCAAAACTATTCACAACATGTAAGGCAGACCCTGGCTAAAGCTGGGAAATTGCCAGGAAGATGATACGAGGCGTCTCACGTATCTCACTTAAACCTACGTTAATATTATAACGTGCGACGATTATAAATGAAAAACTGTTACTGCTCTGTTTGCAGTGTGACGATGCAAACATTTAATAAGCATAAAGGATATCAAT